CTCGCTTTCTCAGAGAGAAACAGCGAGCACCACATTCTTGTCCGGCATGATCACGTGGTCGAGGCAAGTTGACTCGTGACGATCGTAAGCCTGCCGTGCGGGCCTGGCCTTGCGAGCAGCTCGTGACTTGTTGTGAATGAACTGCCGACCAACTCGGGCGGCATGCACCGCAGTGCCAAACAGTCCACATTCCCTTGCAGCACTCAGACCTCAGATGTATCGAACACTCAAGCAACGGAGCGTTCGTCAGACATCCGAGCGCTGACGTCTGGACGCCCCAACCCGATTTGGCCGGCGCCAAGCGGGTTCTGAGTCGGGCCGGGTCGGGTCCCCCAAGTACAGATTTCCAGAATCCCGGCCTGACCCGACCTTGTAGAGGCGGGTCCGACATCAACAGGGACCGGGACGGCCCGACTTGAAGGCCGCTTGAGTATCTGTACCCGCTTTTGCCTGCCGATCTGCACAGATTGGAGATTTTTCCACTGAGCTAGGCACTCCCTCCTCCCCAACAAAATTGTTGGAATGAAAATTTCCAACCACCTAGCCACCGCTTGCCACTCATCACCGCATTGTATTGCTCAGGATTTTGCTTGAGTCAGGTCAGGGATTTCATCGGCCTCTACCGGGCCGGTCGAGTCGACTCGGCTCGGCCTAAAACCCGACCCGAGCGGGGAACTCAGGCCCGGCCGGGCCGGATTGTTGGCCCGACATTGATCCGACCCAAATTCGGGTCAAGGGCAGGGAAACCGTGTCGGGTTAGACCCGACCCGATTTCGACACAAGAAACGAAAACCCTAACCAATTCGATGTAGAAGGGACTTTTTCCCCCTCGACATATAGGAGGAGCGATGATAGGAGCAGAGTCAGTCACATGTCGCGCCAGCTACAAGTCGGTCATCCGGACAAGACCGTGGCCCTGATTGGCAGCCACAAAATGGGGGGAAAAGGTTTAAATGGTGTCAAAGGGAGTTGTATGTTGGCCCCGTCCTCGCTTGGGCGGTGCCGACTTCGTGGTCGGGTGTAGGGTGCAGCCGACCTGCAGCAGTGGGCGAGTTGGTCGACGAGGTTGGTCGACCTGCACGGGGAGCCACTGCATGGGCGCCGACTTCGGGAGGGCGCCAACTTCGGGTGGTCGACCTGGGAAGTCGACCAGCCCTTCTGGTCGACCTGGGAAGTCGACCAGACCTTCTGGTCGACCTGGGAAGTCGACCAGACCTTCTGGTCGACCTGGTAAGTCGACCAGCCCTTCTGGTCGACCTGGGAAGTCGACCAGACCTTCTGGTCGACCTGGGAAGTCGACCAGACCTTCTGGTCGACCTGGAGTGACGTCGACTTGGAGCTGGTCGACCAGGGGGTAGTGGTCGACCTGGGGAGGTCGACTGGAGGTGGCCGTCGACTTGGGAGGTCGACCGGCACATACCAGAGGCAGTGGTCGACCTGGTGAGGTCGATTGGAAGTGGTCGTCGACCTGCGTGGTCGACGGGCACGCACAGGAGCATCTGGTCGACCTGGTTGCTCGGTCGACCAGGTTACCTGGGTGACGAGGTTCTGCAAAGGCATGCGACGTTCGCCCAGGTGATTTTGGCGAGGACGACCTCGGTGGTGGTATCCCGAGGTCGACGTGGCTGATCAGCAGCTGTCGTCAGCACGAAGTGGACTTGGTGTGTGCGCTGTGCAGGTGACGAGGCACTGCACGCCAATCATCTGCGAGCACCTGCGAAGCGGGTGCGATGCTGTACTGCGGGAGCAACGCTGGCACGCCGTCGACTTGCGCTGTTGTCACGCCGTCGACTTGCAGCGGTGGCAAGCCGCGACTCTGCACTGCTGGAGCGCGGTCGACCAAGTCGTGTTGGCACGCGGTCGACCGTGCTGCACTGGCAGTCGTCCTGCTTGCATGCTAGCTCTGATGTAGTCTTGCCTTGCCAACTTCATTGTATCATTGTTGTCAACCTTTCCTAGTGAAACTCTTGCCAATTTTCCCTGTCAACTAGCAAGTTGTGTGTGCACTAGGAAAACGACTAAGGACCAACGAACACAGAGATCACACGAGCACCCGTGCCTAGCCTGTAGTCTAGCTCCCGTTGTAGTAGTTATCTCCGCATGGTGCGGTGAGCGTGGACGGCACCCGACTTACCTTTCAGTCTAGTCGACTTAGTTGCACCTTACCTAAGTTGTTCGTAGGCCGGCAGCTGTGCAGTAGTCACCATGGTAGGCGCCGTAGGTGACACGGGGGTGGTGGACACCCTGGAGGCACAGCTGGAGAGCGCGAGGAGACGTCATGAGGCGAAGGAGTTCGGCGACCTCCCCTGGGCGGTCGTCGAGGCTGGCATCCGCTCCGTGTGGGCGACGGAGCACCCTCCTTCTCGGCCTGCATCTCCTCGACCGGTGAACACCGAGGGCGGCGTCGACGTGGGCGTCAACGCCGGTGGTGACCAAGTCGGCAGCAGTGCGGGAGGCATGTCGTCGAGGCAGCGTGGTGTGATTCACGCCGTTGAAGTCGGCGGCGTTCAGGTGCGAGGGATGCGGTCGTCGGCGGCTGCAGGCTCCTCGCAGGGTGATGTCGGAGGTCGACGAAGTGGGTCTCTGCCGATGTCGGCGACCGGCTGCAGGCGGGATTGCACCGCGCTACGGCTACTTCAAGCTCACGCCAGATAGGATCTTGGTTACTCCCCTGCTGGTTGGTCGACCCGACATCCTTACCTGGAAGGAAGCCATCGAGCCCCAGCTGGAGATGGCCGGGCTGATCAACTTTGCTCGCGGTACCGTGGCGACGCCGGATGACCCCGACTTGCGTGCAGAGTTTCGCGCCGTGCAGCTGCTGACCTTCACGGTCATATCGCGGTGCTGCTCGCCGGGCGTGCAAATCGCCCTGAAGTCGTGCAGGGAGCACCTCGACGCCGGCCACCGGGCGTGGCACTTCATCGAGTCGACTTACCAAGTCACCGACGACTTGTTCATCGCCCAGCTTGAAGGGCAGCTGACGCACCTGCGTATGGGCGACCAGGAGACGGCGACAGACTACTGCAACCGAGCTCGGCGGATTCTTGCCACCATCAGGATGGCCGGCGCGGAGTACTCGACGGCGTCGTACGTCACCCATGTCATGCAGGGACTTCCGAGCAGCTACAACCTGCTGAAGCGGCTGTCGATGGCGCCGAGCACGCGGGCGACGCTCAACGAGGACACGTTGACCTCGTACATCCTGCAGGACGAGGCAATGCAGGAGGCCGAGCGGTCCCAAGAGCTCTTGGCGCAGGTAAACTACGTCGCCCCGGCGAAGCAAGGTGGTCGACCGGGGCAGCGCGGACAGTCTGGCAGCGGTGGTAGCAGTGGCTCGAAGCCGGCCAAGGAAGTCGACAAGAAGAAGTCGACCAAGGACAGCGGTCGAGGAGGAGGAAGTCGACGCCGGGAGTGCTGGCTGTGCGGCGACCCCGACCACCTCTCCTTCGAGTGCCCCGACCGCGGTGACTCCGACGACGACGACGCCAAGGGAGGCCGTGGAAGGTCTGGCAGTCGTCGTCCTCGTCGAGGAGGAAACGAGCCGCACAAGGAGAAGCAGTCGACCAAGCCGTCGACCTCGGCGAAGGACGCCGACTCCTCTGTTGGCGGAAAAGGGCGTGACGACAAGTCGGCGTCGTGCTCCCTGGTCGGCGTCGTGGAGCCGACCGTCTCGCTGGCGCCGGAGGCCAGCGAGGACTTCCAGGCGGTGGCGGCAGCTGTGCAGGCTAATCCGGCGGTGGTCCTGCTCGACAGCGGCTGCTCCCACCACCTGATGGGGACGAAGGACGCCTTTGTCGACTTGGGACCGAGCGGCGACGTGAAGTACGTGCGTGGCTTCAATGGGGCGCTGCAGGACGTCCAGGGTCGCGGCACTGTCGCCCTGCAAGGGGAGGCCGGGAAGCAGGTGCTCATCCCCGACGTACTGTACGTCCCGGGTGTACGGGCGAACCTGCTCTCAGCCGGCCAGCTGAAGGAGAGCGGCGTGAAGCTGCAGGAGGATGGCGACGGGATGTTGCTCGTCTCGGCGGCGGGAGACGTCCTCGGTCGGGCGTCCTACATTGGGCGAGTCCTCTGCACCGACCTGCGTCCCTGCTCAACGAGGTCGACGTCGACCAGGACGGAGGCCGTGGCCCTGCGGGCGATTGTCTCGGCGACGAAGTCGACGCCGAACAGGCTGCACGCGCGGCTGGCGCACGTCGGCATGGACACCATCCTGAGCTCAGCGAAGCACGAGGTCGCCACTGGGCTGGACCTCAAGTCGACGTCGGGCACCGACTCACCGTGTGTTTCGTGCGTCGGCGGGAAGCTGGCGCGGCACACCTTCCCCGACAAGGGCTCCGACGCCGACCGTCGTGCACATCGACCTGTGCGGGCCATTCCGCGTGGCTGCCAAGGACGGCGGCATGTACTTCCTGCTGCTGAAGGACCGCAAGACCCGCTACGTGTGGGTGCGGCCGGTCGCCAAGAAGTTCGAAGTGCTGCGGGAGTTCGATCAGTGGCTGGTGATGGCGGAGCGACAGACCAAGAAGTCGGTGCTGATGCTGCGCTCTGACCGGGGAGGGGAGTTCCTCGGAAAGGACTTCACCGCCCTCGTGGACGGCAAGGGGATCCTCCACGACCTCACCTGCCCATACACTCCGCTGTCAGAATCCCAGCCACTAACCACTGGGATAAAAGGGCTTGTTTAAGTAGCGGGTGAGTGCGCCCATAACCCCCCAGGCCGACATGCCTGTAACCCTTCCCTAGGATCATCGGGGATCTCCAGTGGACCTCTGACACCCCCCCGCACTGGGATGCCCGAAGTGCACACACCGGGAATCGAACCCGAGACCTTCGCTCTGATACCATGTCAGAATCCCAGCCACTAACCACTGGGATAAAAGGGCTTGTTTAAGTAGCGGGTGAGTGCGCCCATAACCCCCCAGGCCGACATGCCTGTAACCCTTCCCTAGGATCATCGGGGATCTCCAGTGGACCTCTGACATCCGCAGCAGAACGGCATGGCGGAGCGGGAGATGAGGACGGTGGTGGAGTCGGTGCGGACGATGCTGCTGCACATGGGCGTCCAGCACCACTGGTGGCACCTCGCTTTGCGGCAGGCTGTCTGGGTCCGCAACTGCCTGGAGAGGTCGGCGACGCCGGGGACGACACCGTACCAGTTGCTCACCGGGAAGAAGCCCGACTTGTCGCTGGCGCGCGTGTGGGGCTGCATGGCGCAGTTCCTCGTCCCCGAGCAGCAGCGTGGTGGGAAGCTGAAGCCGAAGGCCAAGTGGAGCCTTCACCTCGGCGTGTCGGAGGCGAGCAAGGGCTGGGAGCTCCTCGACATCGCTGACAACCGGGTGGTCACCACGTCGGACGTGGTGTTCTACGAGGACATGTCGCTGGAGGTGTGGAAGTCGGAGCACGGGCCGGTGTCAGGACGGACACCGACCACCCCGCCAACCGACACCTCGCAGGCAATGCTGCCTCTGCTCGCGGAGGTCGGTGAGCTCGCTGCTGGGGACATCGAGGTCGACCATCCTCCTTCCCCTCCTCCCACGACCCATGTTTCTCCCCTCGTGGCCGACCTGCGTGGACTGACTCCGGTGTCGGCCTCCGGCGATGAGGGGAGTAGTGGGACGTCGCCTGCGGCCAAGAGCATCGCCGGTGGCCGACTTGATGGGCAGCAAGTCGACGTGGGAGTGAAGTCGACGTGGATAAGGGAGGAGCAGGTCGAGGAGGTGCAGCCGACTTGGGTGAAGCCGACAGGGGAGCAGGCAGCAACAAGGCCGACCAAGGAGCAGTCGGCGACCTGGCAGTCGGCAGGGGAGGAATCGGTCGGGACGCCGACCGAGGTGCAGCAGGACGACGAGGACGATGAAGGGGAGCAGTTGGGCGACGAGGAGTCCACCGACAGTGACGTGGGAGAGGCCCAGGCTGGACCACGGCGTACAGGCCGCCTTCGGAGGCCTCCCGACTTCTTCGTCCCGGCTGCCTTCACCACGGTGTATGACGTGGTCGACGAGGACGACGACCTGCTGTACGACGACGCCGATGAGGATGAAGACCTGCTGGAGCTCGACCCCGACATGCACGCCGACCCCGAGCATCGTTGGGATATCTCCACGATGACGGTGAAGGAGGCGCTGGCTAGCTGGAAGGGTCCGGCGGTGAAGGCCGCCATGGAGGAGGAGATCCGCAGCCTCATCGGCATGGGGACGTGGGAGCTGGTCGAACGCCCACCCGGGGTCAACATCATGAAGAACCGGTGGGTGTTGACGACGAAGTACCGCATCAACGACACCGTCGAGCGTGAGAAGGCGAGGCTGGTCGTGAAGGGCTTCACGCAGGTGTATGGCGCCGACTACGACGAGACGTACGCGCCGGTGAGCAGCTACGTCACGCTGCGGATTTTCCTCAGTATCGTTGCCGTGCTCAACCTCAACCTAATGCAGCTCGACATGAAGAACGCCTTCCTGCAGAGCAAGCTCGACTGGGTGCTGTACATGTCGCAGCCGGACTACTTCAACGACGGAACCGGCCGGGTGTGCAAGCTGCTAAAGAGCCTGTACGGGCTGAAGCAGTCGCCGCTGCTATGGTACAAGGCTCTCAACGACGTGCTGGTCGGCGCCGGTTGGAAGAAGAGACCGGTCGACGAGGCCCTCTACTTCAAGGTCGGCGACGACAAGGTGACCTGCTGGGTGTTGGTCTACGTCGACGACTTGCTCGCCGCCAGCAGCAGCCCCGAGATGCTGAAGGAGCTGAAGGAGCTGCTGGATGCCGCCTTCGAGCTGCGCGAAATCTCGCCGGTGCAGAAGTACCTCGGGCTGGAGATCGTGCGCGACAGGTCGGCGGGGAAGCTGTGGCTGCACCAGCAGGGCTACGCCGACAGGGCGGTCAGACCCCGAAGACGCCGGTCTCGGTCGACGCCTACGCCGAGCTCACCTTCGACGACGAGGAGGCGCAGGAGCGACAGGAGGAGGAGTATCGGCAGAAGGTCGGCTCGCTGCAGTTCGCGGCGACGACGACGAGGCCGGACATCGCCTTTGCCTGCAGCAAGCTGGGGAGCGGCCTCACGGTGAGGAGCGACCAGCACTGGCGCGAGGTCGACCGCTGCCTTGCCTACCTCGCCAACACGCGTGACACTGCCCTGGAGTTCGGCGGTGGACCTGAGTCGTTGGAGCTGGTCGGCTACGTGGACGCCGACGATGCCGGCGACAAGCAGAACAGGACGAGCACGGGCGGCTACGTGTTCGTCTACGGAGGAGCCGCAGTCTCCTGGTCGATCCAGCTCATCAAATGCGCGACGCTGTCGTCGACCGAGTCGGAGTACGTGGCGGCCGTCGAAGCTGGCAAGGAGGGACGCCGACTTCGCTTCCTCCTGGCAGAGTTCCAGCAGCTAGATGCTGGGAGGCCGACGGTCCTAAGGGTGGACAACAAGTCGGCCATCACAGTCGCCGAGGGCATGGGGTTGACGGGCAACCTCAAGCACATGGAGCGGCGACAGGCCTGGCTGCAGCACATGGTGAAGCGGGGGAAGTTTGCGCTGCAGTACATCCCGACCGCTGAGCAGCCGGCCGACTTCTTGACGAAGGCGCTGCACTATCCGGCCTTCAACCGGTGCTCCGTTGCAATCGGCCAAGTGCGTCTGGCCGACGTGGGCGACGGCGACGACGACGTGCAGCAGTAGGTGCCATGCCCTCTTGCATGGCTGGTGTGGTGGACAACGTGCTGTGGGTTGGGTGCACGTCGACGAGCTTGTCTCCGAGAAGTACTGTCGTGTGGGCTGGGGGCCCAAGCGTGAACGCGGCAGGGGAGTGTCAACGGGAGTTGTATGTTGGCCCCGTCCTCGCTTGGGCGGTGCCGACTTCGTGGTCGGGTGTAGGGTGCAGCCGACCAGGAGCACTGGGCGAGTTGGTCGACGAGGTTGGTCGACCTGCACGGGGAGCCACTGCATGGGCGCCAACTTCGGGAGGGCGCCAACTTCGGGTGGTCGACCTGGGAAGTCGACCAGCCCTTCTGGTCGACCTGAGACGTCGACCAGACCTTCTGGTCGACCTGGTAAGTCGACCAGACCTTCTGGTCGACCTGGTAAGTCGACCAGACCTTCTGGTCGACCTGGGAAGTCGACCAGACCTTCTGGTCGACCTGGTAAGTCGACCAGCCCTTCTGGTCGACCTGGGAAGTCGACCAGACCTTCTGGTCGACCTGGTAAGTCGACCAGCCCTTCTGGTCGACCTGGGAAGTCGACCAAGCCTTCTGGTCGACCTGGTAAGTCGACCAGCCCTTCTGGTCGACCTGGGAAGTCGACCAGACCTTCTGGTCGACCTGGAGTGACGTCGACTTGGAGCTGGTCGACCAGGGGGTAGTGGTCGACCTGGGGAGGTCGACTGGAGGTGGCTGTCGACTTGGGAGGTCGACCGGCACATACCAGAGGCAGTGGTCGACCTGGTGAGGTCGATTGGAAGTGGTCGTCGACCTGCGTGGTCGACGGGCACGCACAGGAGCATCTGGTCGACCTGGTTGCTCGGTCGACCAGGTTACCTGGGTGACGAGGTTCTGCAAAGGCATGCGACGTTCGCCCAGGTGATTTTGGCGAGGACGACCTCGGTGGTGGTATCCCGAGGTCGACGTGGCTGATCAGCAGCTGTCGTCAGCACGAAGTGGACTTGGTGTGTGCGCTGTGCAGGTGACGAGGCACTGCACGCCAATCATCTGCGAGCACCTGCGAAGCGGGTGCGATGCTGTACTGCGGGAGCAACGCTGGCACGCCGTCGACTTGCGCTGTTGTCACGCCGTCGACTTGCAGCGGTGGCAAGCCGCGACTCTGCATTGCTGGAGCGCGGTCGACCAAGTCGTGTTGGCACGCGGTCGACCGTGCTGCACTGGCAGTCGTCCTGCTTGCATGCTAGCTCTGATGTAGTCTTGCCTTGCCAACTTCATTGTATCATTGTTGTCAACCTTTCTTAGTGAAACTCTTGCCAATTCTCCCTGTGAACTAGCAAGCTGTATGTGCAATAGGAAAACGACTAAGGACCAACGAACACAGAGATCACACGAGCACCCGTGCCTAGCCCGTAGTCTAGCTCCCGTTGTAGTAGTTATCTCCGCAGCAGAGTCAGTCACATGTCGCACCAGCTACAAGTCAGTCATCCGGACAAGACCGTGGCCCTGATTGGCAGCCGGAAAATGGAGGGAAAAGGTTTAAATGGTGGTGAAAGAGGTGGGGGAGGGCGTGGGAGCCGTGCTTCACAGGAAGAGCGCGTTTGGGGGGCAGTCAGGGGTCCGGATTGGGATAGCTAGGTAGGGGGGCTCAAGCTGAAGGAGCGGCCGGGGGGTGGAGAGCGGAGAGGGGGGGATGGGAAGAGTGGTGGTCCGGGTGCTTCGAGTGCTGGGGGAGGTGCTGGACCTACTAATGGGTCAGCGCCAGCCGCTGATGTGCCTGCTGCTGCTGTGCCTGCCATTGATGTATTTGCTGCTGTTGTGCGTGCCATTGGTTTGTCTTCCGCCGCTATCGATGCTATGAGGGCGATAGGGACGAATTCAACCAAAGATGATGAGTTGGACCCGATTATGGAGAAGGCCCTGAAGTCGGGGGAGCCCGGGTTGGTGCGTGGCATGTTCAGGCCTTCGTTGAGTGGGAAGACGCGATGCCTGAGGTGCAATAATGAGATGAAACGGGTTCAGAGTAGAACGAGTTCGGGCGGGAGACACTACAACAAGCGGAAGCACCACCCTATCCGCCAGATCTGGGTGCGTCGCTACCACAATCCAAAGAAGCTTTCCAAGCTTGCTTTCCCGGATGGGGAGCAGGGACCAGATGTCCCTGATCATACCGAGGGGGCCCAACATTCCAGTTGAAAGGGGGGAACTGGTTTGAGTGGGATGACAGGCGCCGTTGCCGGGGTGGTAGGCAGACTACCATGAGCTCCTATGTCACGTCACGGGTTGGTGCCCAGCAGCTGCGCAAGCATTTGGTGATGCTCTTTACTGGACTCGACATGCCGGTTAGATCGGTCGACCGGCAGGAGGTAAAATCTCGTGTGTGCGAAACACTGATGCGTTGTCGTAACACCTTCCATTATGGTTTGCCGTTGCTATCACATATCTGTGCTCTTCCCCATGCCAGTTTACAGAATGCTGAACCCCGAGGCGACGCGACATCTCGGCACTCATTACCGCCGCCCAAGGTTCAAAAATACGGTAAATGTGAATTACGGCTCGTAAATTACGGTCGTAATTTACGGTGATTTGGGCAGAAATACGGTCGTTTTTTTAATGGACTTTTTTTGCGGCATCTTTTTATTTTCCAGACACTTCAAAAATGCTTACAACGATGACTAGGAAGGCGACAACAAACTACACTACAGAGAAACAAGCCTATAATGGACCACTACACCACTACCATGGCTAAGCCTGCCTAGTAATACCTACCTTCAGGGTAAATCTGCTCCCACTCGCTCCCCGCACAACGCGGGAAAAAAACACACTTGCGTGGATTTGGGCGCATGAAACTTCTCACAAGCAGGGTGACGGTTGGGAAATGTCGAAATTCACTAGTCACAAGCTCGGTCTCAAAAATTTGGTCGTAATTTACGACCGTATTTTTTAACCAACCTAATTTTGCAAGGCCGAGCCGTTTTTTACCGTAATTTACGGCCGTTTTTTACGGCCGTTTTTTCGGCCGTTATTCACGGTAAATTTTCAAAAATAAGGTCTTATTTTTTAACCTTGCCGCCGCCTAGCACGCGACGAACATGCCGCGGGCGATGTAGTTGGGGCGGAGCTGTGGCAGCTGCTGACAGCCGACGGACTGGCGGGGAGGGTTACACCCAAAACCACAGACATATGGACTAGTGAGAATGGCATAGCGTTCATGGTGGTGACAGTTCACTGTATCACACGCAACTTCACGCTGCGGCAGGTCATTCTCGATTTCAGGCAGCTGGTGGGCTTTAACACGGGCAACACGATAGCTGATAAGTTGGAGGATGTCATAGTGGAGTGGGGATTAGGTGATGCGTTTTTTCGGCGAGACCACGGACAGCGCCGAGAACAACAACCAGGCGACGCGCCAGTTGGCTGGCGTTCCTGACAGCACACCGGGGTCACGCCCTCATGATCCACCCTTGCTCTGCCGATTTCGGCACTTCGGGTACCTGTCGTTGTTGGCTTTGTGGGATCCTGGGGCATTTTGAGTTATGTCATCCAAGCAGTGTATGTTCACCACTCTCTGCGTACTTGCCCGACAGGTGCGTGGCCCATGTTTTCAGTCTGGCAATGCAGCATGCACTCGAGGTAGGGACGGTCTTGGAGCCGCTCCGGAGGTTGGGAGATGTGGCCAGCCACTTAGAGTGGACCGTGCAGGGTTCGGACCGGTTCTTTAAACTGCAGAGCCGGTATGCAGCGAGCCAGACGTCGTGGATAGGGCGAACACCGTCCTCGCCCCCCTGAGCAAAGAAACGAACACCTGTTCGGTTCGCCTCGAACGTGTTCGAGGCGAACCGAACGGGTCTAGTTTTCCAGATTAAAATGTTTGCCCGAACATGTTCGAGGTTCGCCCGAACACGTTCGTGTTCGTGGCGCTGCTGCTGAAACGCCCTGTGTCGAACACGAACGTGTTCGAGGTTCGCCCGAACACGCCTTCACAGGCGAACACCAAACACCTTTTTTTTCAAAAGGTGTTCGGCGAACCGAACAGTGTTCGGTTCGCCGAACGGCGGTGTTCGTGCAGGGGCGAACGCGAACACGTTTGTGTTCGCCCCTTGCTCACCCCTACTCATGCCTATGTGGACATGGACGTGTCCAGCGTCCTTACGCTAGCGCATATACGCTGCTGAACGCACTAATGTCCAGCCGTGGACGCAAGACATGCTTGGGTCGGGCAGGCAACAAACATTTTCGGGCATGTGGAAAAAGGGAGGGGGGCAGGGGGGGAGGAGCGGGGGAAGGGGGGGGGGGGGGGGGGGGGGGGGGGGGAATGGGGGAAAGGGAGCGCCACAAGGATTCCGCCATGGAATCGCGATGGTAAACGTTACGAATTCTGGAATAAGATGTTAAAATCTAAGTTGGGCTCTTACGTTTTTTGAGGTCTCGTAAACATAAATTTTGCGTAATCTAGCGTAAACGTAAACGAAAACGTAAAATTACACTCAATTCTAATGAAGGCAAGAAAAAAGAATGATTTGAGTTTTTTTCCTGGATTATGTATGAGTACTAAATCCTATTAGGGAACGTTCCTGGCCGGTGTCAGGCAGGCTGACACGAAGCTGTGAAGGGTCTCGATTCGATTGAGGATGATGTGGAGCGATCGCAGCCGTCAGTAGCCTTGTGTCAGGGAACTTGACACCGGCCAAGAACGTTCCCTTACTAACCCGCCGTGAAAGTTCCAGATTCAGCGTCGACATGGTTAGTAGGAGAGAAACACAATAGGATACGAATGAGCTGCTAAGTTGCCATCGAACAAGATAGCAAGTTACGGAACTAGGTTGGACGAAATATCCCTAATGCTCTGGTCGTTTTTGTTCCTCGAGCAGCTGGAAGAAGGTTTTTAAGTGACCGTAAACGTAAGGCCGAATCAGGGCCACCGTTCGTAAACGTAAAAATTGTCGTAATCGTGCGAAAACGTAAGGATCCGAAAACGTAAGATCCAACTTAGGTTAAGATTGATCGAAGGAGTTTCCTAAATGAATGCCGTAGAGGCGAAATGTGCTAGCTGTTGGGAATAATCTGGTCGTGTGTGAGTTATCAAAACCTAATCGACGACTAAAACGGAAATCCGCCTGCCAGAGTTTGTCGATCCACTTACGATGGGTTTGACTTTCTAGATTAGGAGGGGTGAAATGCGGTAGAAAGAGAAATCGCATGGACATCTTGTTGGATCTGGTTCTTTTTTTATGACATTGAACCGAATCAAAATCGAAATCACATTCGCGCTGAATTCGCAAATGTAAATTTTGTCGCCGTTTTTTCCGTCGGGCTGCCCGAAAATTTCCAAGGCGAGTGTTTAGCATACAGAGGCTAGCATATACACGCTGGACGCTCGCCGTCCAGAGCTAGCCTTCAGCCATAGCTCATACCCCCCAATCAAATCGACCCGACCCAACCCGGCCGGGCACTTTGCTCATCCTTAGCAGTGTCCAAGATACTGAGCGCATCTAGTCCCAACAATGTGAAAACACAGCAAGGGGATGGGGTGAGAAGCAGGGCAGGAGCACGTAGGCAGCACACCTGGAACAGCCCCTACAGTTCTCGTCTTCTGCAGCAGCCCTTTGTCCGCCATCTGCCCAGGAAGCACACAGACAAAGCAAGTGTCGGTTGAGTAGTGCCTTCAGGTGCACGCTGGCCTATTCTCATCCCATCTCATTGCTTGCACTGGCACACTGGTGTGTGATCTCATAAACTGCTTCCTCATTACAAACAACACTTGCAATGAGCAGCACTCACTTTTGCACTTCTATCAATGTGTTCCCGTGAATAAGAGCAACAATCTGCCTCGTCCATATGGACCATATAGAGAAGTGTTACAGAGTACGGTTAAAAAACAGCGAAGAGCAACGAACACGTGAGCATCAATGTCTGTCTACAAGATTCGCCATACAGTCACAAACATACCCTCCCGACGCTCGCATTAAACCTCCAGTTGCAGCAGCAGCCGCAGCACTCACCACTTTGATGGCAGCAAGGTCGGGGCGCCTGCTGGGAGCCCGCACGTTGGTGTCCCCCCCCTTGGGCTTGCTCTTGGGCACCGACTCGCCGTTGGGGCCGATCAAGCCCAGCCTCTTGTGCTCCTTGGTGACACGCTCGCCCTCCGTCTGCCGCGCACGACATGCGGGTTAGCAGGAAGAAATCAACAGTGCAAAGAAGCAGCAAGGCACATGGATGAAGCAGGGCACGAAGGCAGCGGGGCGAAATCAACATCATGAAGCAGGGCACAGAAAAAGCTGAACACAGAAGCAGCAAGCAACAGAAGCAGCATGGTAAGCAACGCATCAGAGAGCAAAAGAACACCTGACGGCCCTTCCATATCACTGTCGTGCCCCTCCCAGCGCACCTTAAGGGCTCTTCTGTTGAACAGGCTGTACAGCTTCAGCAGTCGCTTCACTCTCGCCACCGCCTGCTCGTCGTCATCCGCACCCTCCTCCTCTTCTTGTTCCTGGTCCTCCTCTTGCTTCCCATCCTCCTCACCCCTCTCCCCGTCGTCCTCGTCGCCAGCATCCTCGTCCTCCTTCTCATCCTCCTTCCCGTCCTCCTCCCCATCCTCTTCCCCAGCACCTGATCCATCGCTGGTACCTCCTCTGTTCCGACGCTTCTCTCTCACGCTCCTCCGCTTCTTCCCGCTCTCCCATGCTCTCTGCTGTGAGCCCTTCCGCTTCTGCCCCCTCGCAGCACCGCCTCCCCTGCCATGGCCCTGCACCTGCAAGCCACTCCCATTCCCCGCACCACCCGCATCAGCGCAACCAAGTGCCAGGATCAGCCCTTCATTCTCTGCCCTCTCCTTCCCTGCCGCCCTTCCCACCCCAACCACAGCATCGGACCCAACCCTTCTGCACCTCCGAGTGTACCTGGTGCTCAGCACTTGAGCCTGCTGCCCCACCCCCTCACACCCATCCATGCCATGGCTTCCCCAGTCCTCACTGCCCGAGGGGTGCGTGCCATTGCTGCCACTGCTGCCGCCACCGCTACTGCTGCTGCCGCCACTGCTGCTGCGGGCGCTGCTGCTAGCGCCCACTTGCCGCCGCGTGTACTGCACCTGCTGCTGTTGCTTCCCCTGCCCCCGCGCCTGCCGCTGTCCGCCGCCTGCCGCGGGCTGCAACGAGGAGCACCGACTGCTGTCGCGCGTGGCGCGGTGGGAGGAGGGGACTGGGCTGGGCCCCTGCGAGATGATGGCACATGGGACAGGGACGAGCGCGGGAAGCGGGATGTATTACGAATGCAGGATGTGTGGAAGGAGGTGCTTGTTGGGTGCACAAGGCAAGACTCCCTCCGCAAATTGCAAGCGTAATACAACGGACAATTGATCGTTTACATGCGGTCGCTGGCATTTTGAAATTATAATTTCCTCCCTAGATCGAAGGACATGAAGAGAATTTGCAGTCGACTATGAATTGGACCGAACCAATCTGATCGATAATGTGCGAAATGCACCACGTCCTGAGCTGCCAAACCCTCACAGTTGTCATGTGGCGAGGCGAGCAAGCGGATTGAAATTTCGACCACAAGTTTTCGCGCAAAATCGAGAACTCTCGTTTATGCCTTCACCAGAAGGAGAAATCAGGAGTGATTGAGTGAAGAAAATACATTTCAGTAACAACATAAAAAATTATCAAGTGCTAGAAAAACAATACCGTGATTACTCATGCAATGTTCGCCCGTTTAGTGGGACCAATGGTTAGTTGCCATCCCCTAAAAAACGGAGGGGGAGGTGTTGAGATATACAACTTTATGTAAAGGCGTTCCTGTACGTTGGAGGAGCTGACTCTACCACAGGGTTGATTTTATCAGGGTAATTACCCTGATTTCAGGGTGATTACAGGAATGTCACTTGGTGGAACCTGCCATCTCAGATTTCTAACTTTATGAACTCTGATCCATTCAGATTAGGTACTTAACGAACTCTGAAATTTTGTAACTAGGCTCAGAGTCGTGTACTAGCCGACTATGTCTTTGTAGAGTATGCGTTCGCTGGACCCTGAATGCGAGGGTATCGGGAGGAAGGTTCCTCGAAGTTTCGTCTCGATAACCCCCCTTAGTGCGTAATTATTACTTCGCGTGGCCCCAGCTTGCTGGACCGTGAATGCGTGCGAGGGTATCAGAAGGAAGCTTCCTGGAAGCTTCCTTTCAATAACCCCCCCATGGGGGTTATCATTACTTCGCGTGGCCCTACCGAGGTACCCCCTTCACGCGCGGGAGCGTGACGTAATACCGACAAGGTAAAACACCCCCGTGCTGTACATCACAGTTGGCAACACCGACAACGCACCCAAATCAATGATACAGTGCTGCCACGCGCACCACACAACACACAGCATGCATCTGCCATTGGCCAGCACGGCCTCTTGACAGCATGCGATGGCAGCCACGCAGCCCGTGGATGAATTCGGCCTTGAATGCAAGGCCGAATTCATCGGCCAATGTTGCCATCAAGACGTTGATGGCGCGCTGCGGTGGTTTCTTACTGACCCCACCATCTCCAAGCTTACCTTCCCTCCCTGCTCCACCAGCCGTGATTCCAACGAGCACCTCCTTTTCCTTTCCATTCCGTGCTTTCAATCTCTCGTTTCCCTCTCGTTCAGATTAGCCACCAATCTCGCCGCCATGGAGGCCATGCCGGCCGACGAAGCTGCTCCGGAGGCTGGCCCTAACGAGCCACCTATACCGGCGAAACCAGTAGGCCCGTCCCAGCCGGAGATAGCCGCCGATGCTCCGCGTTCTGGGCTCGATTTTCTGCGAGCTACGGCTGCTCCTGTAACACCAGAGCCGCCTAGGTCCACAGTTCATGACTCCGCCGCTGTAGTGACACCTACCCCTACTGATTATCCCACGCCTGTCGCGTTCAGTCTCCCCCCGGCTGTTGCTGGCTGCAGCAAAGACCCTCCACCGTCCGCGACCAGTCCCACTCCAAGCACGGTGCGGGTCTCCCTTGGCCCGCTGTCGGCATCTTCCACTCCCAAGCGGGCCCGATGCGGAAAGTGGTCGCAGAGTACTCTGGTGGTGGGGGGCCGCCGTATTCCACCGCCTGAAAAGCCTGTTGAGCCTCCACCGAAAGAAGCTGGAAGAAGGTGACATCCCCGTGCGCGCGGATACTGGCTCACCCGCTCTGACAAAGGCGCAGCTGCGCGAGCAGTTGTACTTGGAGGCGAGTATTAATTACGAGACGAAGTGGTCAGGGTACTTCTGGTGGCTCGTGTTTGGGAAGACCAAGGACGGTTTCCCCTACGTGAAGTGCAGCATCTGCATGTCGTATGGTAAGGGGAACATCAGGTATGCGATGCCAGGAGACGACGGTGGCCGTGACCTGCAGACTCAGTCGTTCCGCGCGCACGAGCATACGGACGCACACACGGCGGCGGTGGACCGGCAGATGAAGATTGCGGCCGGAATCCGCGAAGGGCAGCAGATGATTTCGGACTTTATCAACTCCGATGTGGAGGGCCGCCGCGCGATACGACTCATGCGGTCGACACAGTCCTATGCCAGTGCGACGCGCCGATAAGCATGTTTCCTAAGCTGCTACGGCATCTCACGGAGCAGGACACGCCAGACATTCCACGGCAGTCATACGGCGTTTATCTTACGCGGTATGCAGAGAAGAGTGCAGTGTATACTATGTATGTTGCACACATGATTGACAGTGTACTGATCACTTCCTTCGTCTTGTTGCGGGTACGGCTTCCAGCAGATGGTGCACAGCATCAGCACCTACCTCACGCGGGTGCAGATGTACCACATCCTGGCATCACCGTTCCTAGGCATCCAATGCGACGAGAGCACTGACCGCACGCGAGGGAAACACATGATTGTCTACCTCACTTTCCTGAAGAACCGCCAAGTTGCAACCGAGTTTTTCACTTTGCTGACGGTCGAGCGGTGTGATGCAGGGTCTCTGTTTGAGGTGCTCATGAACCATCTCCGCTCCGCTGCCGTGGATGTCTCCAAGATCGTCGGCATCAGCACGGACGGGGCGTCGGTCATGACCGGGCGAGAGAACGGCTTGGTTGCGCGTCTACGGGAACACGTCCCGCATCTGTTTACCTGTCACTGCATCGCACATCGGTAAGTGAGATGGTCTCGGTTGCCACTTGGTTTCCTACAGTGCGTGATTTACTAACTGACGATGTTTTGTGTTCCCTGCTCGCCACAGTGAGGCGTTGGCTGTGAAGGACGCCGCGGAATCGAACCCGGATATCGGCATGGTTGACAAGGTGGTTCGCACCGTGGCGACGCTGCTCGGAAAATCCAGCGTGTGGAGTCAGCAGTTCAAGTACCTGCAGCGTGTGATTTACAAGACCAACCTGGAAGTCCAAGGGATCCACACGGTGCGGTGGCTGTCTCGAGGTGATGCGGTGGGGAGGCTCTGCAAGGTACTCGGCGCATGCATCGTCCTCCTCTGGGAGCATAATCACAAGGCATACGAGATCGTGACCTGCTACAAGTTCCAGTTCTGCCTGTTCTTCTTGGCCGACATCTTGGCGGACATGAACGACCTCAACCGCTGCTTCCAGCGATGAGAGGTAAAGTCGCATGTGTGGCTGTTGTTGCGCCGTTATGTTTCTTACCACATAGTTGCTCATAACACTCCCTGTTGCTCACACCGTCTCCTCTGACAGCTGGAAGTGTCAGAGATTGCGAAGACGATCGAGTCAACCACGGGGGACCTGACGGAGCGCTACTTGACGCCTGAGAAGGCTTACGGGGGAGAAGGGAAGAGCTGGCTGGTGAACTTCCTCAAAGTCCACAAGGAGGGTGGAGGCAAGCAGGTCCGGGTGCGAGGCGTGGACGGTGCTGGACAGCCTATCAACCACCTCTACACCATGCATGAGAGGAAGCTGAAGGGACACAAGCAGGGGAGCACTTACGCAGACTGCGTGAAGCTGTGCCGCAAATTCGCCAAGGACTGCGTGGACAACCTGAACGATCGGCTGGATGATCTTGGGAAGCTGGGGCCGACTAAGCTGTTCCGGGCGGCAAAGTGGCCAAAGATCAAGGCTCAGCGGGAGAAGAAGTGTAAGGAGTGGCTGAACGGATGCAGCAGGCTGTTCCGCAACAAGCTGCCGGGATTCGACCTCAAAGCAGCAGAGAGGGAGCTCCCGACCTTCTGCGCCATCATGGAGAGCCACCATGAGATGGAGAGCTTCACCCAAGGCCTGTCCAACTTTCTCGGGAGTCCAGACTCAAAGAGGTAGGCCAATTTGAGTAAATGACCCTTGCATCCCTAAATTTGGTTTGCTAACTGTTTCTGTCGTGTTGTTTCCCTTCTGTTGTGTGAACGCATGCGCCTGGCAGGCGATGGCCTAACCTCATCCTGCTGTGGCAGGCGCTGGCGGTGCTCCCCCTCTCAACCGTGGAGTGCGAGAGGGGGTTCTCAAGGCAGAACGTCATCAAGTCCTGGATCCGTGGAGCGCTGTGCAACGCGCGACTGGGGGAACTGATGCAGATATCGCTCTTGAAGTATGAGATCGACTGGCCGGAGGCGCTGGAGGTGTGGAGGTCCCTGCGAAGGAGGCGCCCTGCGAAGAGCTTGAAGCTGGCTGTGGCAGAGAGGGAGAGGAAGGGGAAGCAGAAGGAGGGTGAAGATGTGGCTGCCGGACATGCTGGAGAGAACGAGGATGAGGTGGAAGAGGAGGAGGACGATGAGGTGGAGCAGGCCTTTGGCGACGATCAGGAGGTCGTGGGGGAGGAAGAAGTGGAAGACAATCCATTCCTGTCGGACGATGAGGACGTGGAGGAGGTGTACTTCATTGACAAGCCTGTGCAGTAGATAGCCTAGGGAAGAAAAGAAAGTGCTGGCAGTTATATCATTTTGAAAAATAGTGCATTGTTAATAGCAACCCTATTTCTGAGCAGTGGACCCTGAGCTGTCAGAGTAGGCCTTCGGTTGACACAGAGCCATCAGGGTGGCTGCCTTGCAAAAAATGTGCCATCATAATAGAGGGGCAAAATTTTTACCGGAATCAGGGAGTCCTAAAACGAAACGTCAGCCCTGCTCTACCGAGTACGAAGTCGATCAGTCAAAAGAGTCGAAGCTGTTGGAAACATATAGTTCGCGCTTCTGAAGTATCAAGCACCACAACGTAAGCGAGACGAACTACAGCGAAGAAACAAGTGAGTCAACCACGGGAGGTTTGACACGAGACAACAGTAAGAGGTTAAGCGAAGGTCAAAGGTCAGCGACCTTTGACTCGTCGAAAGCAGCGCGACAACAATGACACATATAGTTTACTCGCTATTGAGCAGTTACCCGAGTCGTCGCTGTATCGAACCGCAAAAGAAGCAGTTACAACAGCAGTTAGTTAAACTTTTCATATTCCCTTGTAAGCATATAAAAGTTTGTATCTCTTTGTTTTAATTAACCTATCTCGTCCTCAAACACCAGCACAAGATGGTTCAAACCAGTTCACTAAGAACGCTTCCGCTAATTACATCATCCTAAGTCTTAGTCTTGAAAACGATCCTAAGGGCTTTTCTCAGCCCAACATGGTATGAGAGCTGTGCTGAAAGACAAGATTCAACGTTTCTCAACTCCTTACAACGACAGAAGACATGGCAACACAGAAAGAGCACCACTCATCTACTGGATCTCGTGGTGCTACTCCTACTCCACCTCCAGCCTCTGGTCTCCAGACAGAGGGAGGCTCAAAACAAAGACCAGTTGCTGAATCCACTGAAACACCTGTTAATCAAGCAACCGGCTTCGATCCGAGCATGATGAAGAAATTCTTCTCCTTCATGTTGTTTTATGAACAACAGCAACAAGCGGTACCTGCGCAGTCCAACAACAGCAACAACAACAATGGCGTTGTCCCCATGAGTCTCGATGGCTCATCGTTTGCGCGCGGAAACCAGCAGCCTACCTTTGCGCCGTACGAGCCTCAACGTGGCTCCATCAGCTTCATGCCGAATCGACTCCCAGTCACACCTGGACAAGAAACAAAGCCAATGGACGCGCTTCAGCTGCAGTCACAATTTGCACGCGTTCTGAAACTACAAACGACAACACCTTTCGATGGAAAATACTTTTATACCTGGTCCTTCAAGTTCGAGCTGATGATGGAAGACGCTCAAATCCTCGGCTTCTTCGGCGGTTCAACAATACACGTATGAGTCGCTGATGGCATATACAATCCTCTTACGGAACATAACGGCGAACGAGCAACGGAATATCCGGTCTTATCGGGGATACGGCATCTCCGCAGAGCTTGCGTACAACCACCTGAAGAACCTGTATCAAGCAAACGACAGCGTTAATCAGAGTCGTCTCATGGCGCAGCTGACAACGGTTCAAATGCAACCCCGGCGAAAAAGCAATGGCGTATATTCGTAGGTGTCGTGGTTTGCGAGACAGACTCCATCGATGCGGCGGCGCGTTATCCGAAGAGGCATTCGTCACCGTCGTCCTCGCAGGTCTCGGACCCCAGTAGCGTTCCACGCGAGCCATCCTTCGACGCCATGGACAGATCTCCGAAGCAGCCCACTGCACAGAGCTTCAAGCTGATCAGCAAGACATGGACCTGCACGAAGAACGACACATGAAAAAATCGTCAGTACCAGAATTTGCATTCCACACTCAGAGACGCCACAACAACAACCGACAACATGGGAATTAGGCACAGAAACACGTACGACCGTTCTGCCACCTCTGTCGAACGTCCGGTCACTCCCGTATTCACTTCCCAAACCAGCAGCAGTCAACGCCACCACCACGACAGCTTCGACCCTCAAGCAGCCAAGTGACTTCAACACAGCTGTCCAACCAGACAAATGTTCTGAAGACAACACTACGACCTGCACAAGAAACAAGGAACGTCGTCAGCTGCATGACACGAATAGACTCATGCATCACCGAATCTCCACCAACCTACTCACAGGAAGAAGTACTCGACAAACGTACACCTCGTCGTCGGAGCTGAACCCGACATACGCAACCATCGCCCATAACAGCACATGTGCACAGCACATGAAAGCTACTTGGTTCTTGGACAGTTGCTGCGGACAACACATTTGTTCAACTAAAATCCCGCGAGACTAATGTTATCCTACAGATGTCAAAAGTGTTTATTGCAGAAGGGCTCGACTACAACTTACTCAATGTCAGCCAACTCATGGCGAAAGAGATTGACCTTGAAGGCGACAGCACCACTCAAGATTTCAAGCTCTACAACGGGAAGGGAGGACTTTAGATCGGCAAGGCGGTCCCAAAGAATAATGTCTTCATCCTCGACTTCGTTCCTGATCTAGGCACCACCGACAGCGACGGCATCGTGAGCTTCACCACTTGGACGCACCCGCCAGACCTCGATCCCGACTTCAGCCCCGGAGGTTTTTGGTACTCGCACACCATACATGAGGCAGAATGAACGAGAGCGCTAGCTGTGATACAACAAAACGTGACAGCAACAACATCGGCAACAGTAGAGGAAACAACATCGGCAGCAGCAGAGACAACAACATCGGCAGCAGCAGAGACAACAACAGCACCAACATCAAACCTCCCTATCGCAGATCCTTCAACGACACCACTTCCTCTTGACGAGCCGACACCGACTCCAACACAACAGCTGACTCCCGTCCCACAAGCCATTCACCGAAGTGCCAACTTCGTTGCCGTCTTCTACTCCAACTCGGATCTGTACAGACGATCACCTGGACATCACGCCAGCGAATCACTGTGGCACGAGAGGTTAGGGCACCCGAGCAACACAACATTAAACAACACGATAAAAGCATGCATTCTCGACAAGGACCCACTACTACTACCCGACGGCAGAGAACTTCAACGAGTTTGTGGAACCTGCTTTACCTGCCCTGAAACCAATTTACCCCATCAGACGTTCGCCTCTCACCACAACCCAAGCACACCAGCATACGCACCACTGGAGAAGGTCTACAGCGACATATTATATACCCGCGAAAGCGGACAAGGGGCTTACAACTACGTCATCACCTTCATCGACGCCGCCACCAGATACGGCTGGTAATGTTTTTGTGTTCTCTCTTCTTGCACATTCATAAGGCGGATTGGTAAGAGTTTTTGCTAGGAAAAGTTGAGAACAGTGATGTATGAATGATGGGCAACAATGACTACATCAGAGCCAGGCAACCTAGCAGACAAGCACGTCGACCGACAGCGCGGCATGTCGGCGACCTGCCAGTGCTACTCAAAGGAGGTGTGCCAATGCTGCAATAGTGCAGCCTGCCAGCGTTGTAGCCGCGTGTGACAACCGCACATGTGCGCACCCACTTAGACATTGCGCGGTTGTGCCTGATGAGCCACATCGACCTCAAAATACCACTCCACAGGTCGACGACCTCCTTCATCGACCACCACTCAAGTCGGCGCCCACATTGGTCGACGAAGCCCTTCGTCGAACGCCGGGCTCGAAGTCAACTATCGACTTCCCGTCATCGGCAGCTTCGCAGTGGTCCCATGCAGGTCTACCAACCTCGTCGACCTCCTCACCCAAGTCGGCGTCGACCATTGCAGGCACTCGGTTGCACCTCCTGCACACCCGGCCACGAAGTCAGCTTCGCCCAAACGAGAGGAGAAACATCAGGCGGGAAAAGGGTCAAGTTGAAAAGCGCGCACAACAATCGTTGTAATCAAAGGTAACTAGGTTAGGAATACGTAGGCAAGTACTAAAAATGAGACTCCTACTTCATTCTTGTTTTCATATCGAGCACTTTTTTGTGCCTAGCGAACATCTAGTGCCAAGGTGTGAGCGGAACCAATCATAGCAAGCAAAAAGTAGAATGGCGTGTGAGCTCAGAAGAGCTTGTTGAGCAGTAGAGATTGTTGGTGAAGGCACATATTCTGATTAGGAACATTTCAAAAGGATAGGGTTGCTGGTGACAAGGGCAGACTGCATAGGGAGCTGAGAGGCAGAGCCTGCGGAGGATGATGGCTCATCAATTCGGCAGCATTACAGCAGAAACTGGTTGGAAAAATGGGCAGCCAACAGATTTTGCATGTGAGAGCAGGGTGTGTTTAAACACTCTACGACAACGTATAATGCACAAAAAAATCGTTCTAATATTGAAATCGCATTTTGGGGTCCGTACTCTTTTTTGTCTGAATCTCATTATCTGCGAAATCAATAGTCTCATGTTTCGAGTGTTAACATATTCACCAGTCTGATGGACTCTTGAATGAATATCACAAAACTCTCAAAATTCTGGATTCAAAGAAAATCATAAAAAAAAAAAACATTGGTTAATGAAGGGGGGGTCGAAGGGGTGCACATGTCGGGTGTTTTGGTTGGCGAAGCTCCGGAATCGAAACGCAACCAATTGCTTCACAAAACCCGACCGCGTTTGTTTGTTTGTTTATTTGTTTGTTTGTTTGTTTTTTTGTTTGTTCGTGGTATTTTGAAACCTGCCAAATTTGTTGTAGATCTTAATTAGTCTTGGTAAGCTTCAAGTAAAGTAAAATGTGACTATGGTTTATGAAACTAGTCATTTTATTACAAGACAACTGAATCACATATGATACTTATTAAGGAGATATGTACTATCCCGATGGAATGCCTTCACTACATGGACGTGGCGGAGTACCACTTCAATCGGAATCACAGTGTACGCATACACTCCTGTCGACCAGTTGAGGCGATGGCATCCAATTGCAGCATCCTCTCCGCTTGCATTCCAATATTTTATGTAAGCCAGCTCCTCTCTCTCTCTGTCCACGTGTTTTTGTATGGAACAACAGAAGCAGCCTTACATAACACTCCTCTCTCTCTGACCATACCTTACACCCTCTATTGCAACATCCGAGTACCATGGATGCTCAAAATAATAAGGCGAGGCCCGAGCGAAACGAGAAACCCTTGAGAAGTTCACGTCGTCTGCTGCAGGGATAGCCAGTGATGCATGGGCCTGCATAACAATGGTGATTACTTACTCTAATCTTGGTGACGCAACCCCCAACCCTCCCAAGCCGCCCTCCTCCTGCTCCTCTCTCTCCACTTTCTCATGCCACATCCCCTCTAGGCCCACGTCTACCAGCATGCACAAGGGCCCTGTTGAGTCACTAGATGGAAAACAAATTTGTGAAACAAATCATGACTCAAGCGTTATGCATACACGAACACGCTTCGTGTTCAGATGATGAAACTGCCACGTTATCAGGCCTGCACACATGGAGAAGACAAGCTAGCTGATTTCACATACGTAATGGATAACAAGATAATCGCATCTCCTTCAGCGTATGCATATGTTTCACCGTACACTGCACGGCGTGCAGCAAAACTGTGTGTGTTACGTTCTTATCATACAAAGATCTGTCCACCACGTGTTGAACCTTCGACAACTTTGTGTTGAAACTAATGTGCATATAGTACCTTATTCAAGTTGTGGTAAACTAAATTGTAGAATCCGTGAACCTCAATTTCACATATCGAATGGCATGGTGGGTGGTGTGTCAATGCAGTTGGTGACGGGGACAGGAAGTCTGGCGCACACGGATGGTCCCAAAAAACAATTGAGTCGATAATTCTGTAGTAATATGTTATAGCAATGCTGCAGCAGTATGTTTCCATCCTAAGCCTCCACTCTCAGATGACTATAGCGCAAAAATTCATGATGCCAAGTACCTTGTGAATGAGTTTCAGTGCACGTGCACTAGATGCAATGAGTTTGTCCCAGGGAGGGTGTGCACTCACTCTGATGCTCTCTCCACGCTCGTTGGGATCTGGCTGTGCATGAAGTGAACCTGAGGCACACAAGGGCATGACCCACAAGTGTGGTGTGATACCAATTAGTAGGCAAACGTGAATGATAAGTCAAAATACAGGCTATAGAAATAGAGCACGTTACTGGATCAGTTTATTTCTATAGCCAAAATGAATAAATCGGCTCATGAAAAACATTTCTCCCATGGGGCTAGTTTGTGGGTTGCTGGTTTGTGTGGGAGTGACAACAGTGAGTACCATGCCAAGGTGGAGGAGGGGGAGGGGGAGGGGGAGGGGGAGGGGGAGGGGGAGGGGGAGGAGGAGGAGGAGGAGGAGGAGGAGGAGGAGGAGGAAGAGGAGGAGGAGGAGGAGGAGGAGGAGGAGGAGGATAAGGATTGATTAGTAGAAGGTGAGGAGGAGGAGAGAGGCACGCCTGGTGTGGGAGCTGGTGGGTGAGAGGCAAGAGGAGGAGGGGAGTGGGGCGCATGGGGTGGCACGGCAAAATGACCCGAGGGCGGATCGGATCGACCCAATGGCAAATCGGGTCGTCCGACTCGCCAAAATAACTGTTTGGCTATTCAGGTATTTCCTCCGATGATTTATGTGGATCACCGATTTCGGCCGCCAATACGTACAGATCTCCATTTTTGCCTTTCAATCATGAAAGCGACTGAGCAAAGCAAGGCACTCCATTCTCCTCAACAAAATTGTTTCAAACCGATTTGCCGTCACTTACCACTCATCATCGCAGTAAACCTATAAGACCCAACCCCCGCACATCCTTACAGATCTCAACATTGAGCCCAACCAGTTTCTGTGCTCTTCAGCCCATACGTTTTATCCCCCCATCTAGACTGATCAGTGTAGGTCAGGCCAAAAAGCCGGGTCGGGCTAGGTCGACCCTACCCAGCCTGGCCGTTCGCTCAAACTAGTCACAATCTTCCATAATTTGTTTTTGCATGTTCATATGAGATTTTGTGGGGGGGGGGGGGGGGGCTCTAGAACCAAACATTGGCGGATTGGAGAAGTTTGAGCTTAGGTTATTAGAGTAACCGGGTTCTTCACACTAGCCATGGCACCTATCTGGCAGAATCGGACAGAGGCTAGTACAGAACGCCTTGTAATCTAAACCGAATATTTTCTGTTTCTATATCGACAATCGAGGGAAACACACTAGCGTATGGTGGAAGGGGGCATGGTAGACTAGAGTAGGCATGGACAGCCGGCCCAACCCGACCGGACTTGGCCGGGCCAGGCGGGTTTGTGGGTCGGGTCAGCCCTAGGCCAGGATGTTGGAGACCCTGACCCGACCCAGTGTACAAGGCCGGATTTTACTTGAACCTACCTCGGATCGGGAAAACCTGAGGTCGGATGCCTGAGGTCGGATCAGGTACAAGAAACCCGCTTTCACCCACGTTTTATGCAGATCGGCGATTTTGCTCGCCCATAAGTGCAAATCGACGATTTCATTGCTGCAACGGTTCAAATTGTCAATTTCGCTGACCGGCGTGGAGATCATGATTTTTGCCAGTAATTTACTCAGCCTAGGCACTCGTTTTTAGCGAATGTGTTGGAACAAACATTTCCAACCAATTCACCACTGCTCACCACTCTTCATCGTATTGAGAAGGTATTGCACATGGAATTACAAGATGTCAGAAGGGAAAACTTGTGTGGAGGGTACAGGGAGTACAGAGGCCTTTTCGTTGTGCTATGAGAGAACATGACTCTACTTGTTATCATTGTTCATGTGTACATTTGTAGAGAATGAATGAGGATCGGGTCCCATCTAGAGATTCATACGTGACGCCTCTGAAAGTGTCCAAATGATGAGCACAATGTCAAACATTGTACTTGTGTTATTGTTGTATAGGCTACAGTGGGTTAGCCTTAAGGGGGTACACAATTCTAGGGTTTTCATACTTGTACTCCAACTTTCTCATAGTCAAACCACTTCGTGTTTCTGACATGGTATTAAGAGCTCAGGTCCTAGTCCTAGGACCGATTACCTAAGGGCCCACCGCCATAAGTGCCCTCGAGCGCCTCGCTTAGTGCGCCCTCGTGCGCCTCGCTTCCTCCTCGTGCCCGCGCGCAGCTCGCTAGTGCCGCGCGCGGCCTTTTTTTTCGCGCGCGTCACCCACTAGCGGCCCGCGCGCGGCCTTTTCTCTAGAGCGCGACGGCCCCTAACCGCCCACGCGCCCGGCGCCGCCCACGAGCAGCCCCTAGCCGCCCGTCGACAGCCCCCTCAGGGGGTCGCAGCCCCGCCCCTAGGCCGCCGCGACGCCCCACTAGGCAGCCGCCCGCGCGCTAGTCAGGCCCGCGCACAGACATGGCCCGCCAGCTACAGCCGCCCGCGCGCACGCCCCCACCCCCGTCGCGCACCGCCGCGTAGCCCAGCCCGAGCCGAGCCGCGCCGCCCGAACCGAACCGCGCCGCCCGAACCGAGCCGCGCCGCCCGAACCGAGCCGCGCCGCCCTAGCCGAGCCGCGCCGCCCTACTGTGCCCCACCTGCAGCAACTGCTACTATTACTACTACTGCTACTGCTGCTCCTGTTCCTCCTACTGCTACTGCCACTATGGCCAGTCCTACTGTACTTACCTTTGACGCTGAGGGCCGCCCGATTAAGTTCGATGTTTGGCTCGATGACCTTCACCTCTACCTTCAGATCACCGCCAAGGACGATATTTCTCTTTATGACCACACGTCCGGCGCCGCTCCCGCACCTGCTGCTGATGCTGATAGCACCTTGCGCTCGCAGTGGCAGACCCGTGACGCTCATGCTCGCCTAGCCGTTCGCAGCCACCTGCCGTTAGATGAGCGCGAGCATTTTGGCCAGCATAAGACCGCCAAGGCTCTGTACGACGCCATAGTCGCTCGCTACTCCTCCCCTGCCACTGCTACTATAGGCCGTCTCTCACTGCCCTACCTCTTTCCCGACCTGTCCGCCTTTGCCACTGTCGCTGACCTCATCACCCACCTCCGTACCAGTGACCTCCGCTACCGTGCCGCGCTCCCCCCCGATTTCCTCGCCAAGAACCCCCCCCCCCTCCCGATGTACCTCACACTGTACCACCTTGTCACCCGCCTCCCTGACTCCCTTCGCACTGTCAGGGACCAGTTTCTCGCTCTCTCCCCCACTGACCTCACTGTCGACCTCCTCGAGAAGGAACTCCTAGCAGCTGAGAAGAGTATTGTAGCTGTAGGTGCCTCTCGTGGTGACCCCCGCACCCCCTTCTTTGAGGGGTGTTCCCCTTCCCCCCTTCTCCCCTCCATTGCATCTGCTGCTGCTGTCGACTACCTCGGAGCTGAGGGAGTCGGGACTGCGTCTACTCCCAGTGGCAGGCGCAAGAGCGGCAACGGCAAGGGGGGCAGGGGTGGTGGAGGTGGAGGTGGGGGCGGCGGCGGTGGAGGGGGTGGGGGGGGCGGGGGTGGTGGCGGAAGTGGGAGTGGCGCGGGTGGTGGGGGGGTCAGTGGCGGCGCAAGGGGTGGTGGCGGCGGCGGCGGTGGTGGGGGTGGGGGTGGTGGAGGAGGTGGTGGCAGTAGTGGCGGTGGTGGAGCGGGTGGCGCGCGCGGTGGAGCGGTGCAGCGTGGGGGGTTCGGAGGTGGCCAGAGGCAGCCGCAGCAGTGTACTGGCGAGACTCCCTCGCCCCACCAGCTTCGTGAGTGGTACTCTCACCGTGGGGGGTCTGGGGGTGGAGGTATTTGCTCGTACGTCATCCGCACAGGTGATCGCGCTGGCCAGACTTGTGGGAGGTTCCACCCGGCACAGCGCTGCTTCTCTCGCCTCGATGACGCCTGGCGCGAGCAGTTCCCTGACGCCTCTGAGCTGCCTCGCTGGGCTGATCTGCTTAGGAAGGGAAATGATGTTTTTGCTCTTGATTATGATGCTATCCTTGCTGCCATGTATGCATTGACTATTAGTGCTGAGGGTGACTGTTACCTGAGTGTGCCGCCTGACCCAGGTATTGGTACTGGTATGGCTGCTGCGCTAGGTGCTAGTGCGTCTGCGTCTGCTGGTACTGAGTCTGCTACAGCACTGCACACCTTCACCCTGGACTCAGGTGCTTCCCGCTGTTTCTTTCGTGACCGCACTGTCCTTGAGCCACTCGCTCGGCCTGTTGCTGTCTCCCTTGCTGACCCCTCTAGTAGCCCGGTCCTTGCGACCTCCTCCACTGTCCTCCCTTGTCCTGCGGCCCCGTCTGGCACTTTGTCGGGTCTTTACCTCCCCTCGTTCTCTACGAACTTGGTGGCGGGCTCTGCTCTCCAGGACGGGGGTGTTCACCAGTTCACCCCTGCCTATGAGCGAGTGACCCACTGTACGTGTGCTCGGACGGGTCGCCACCTGGCTACCTTCACTCGGCAGCCGGGGTCCGACCTGTACACACTGACCACTGAGTCCCCTCAGGTAGCTGCGTCTGCGTCTGCGTCAGGTCAGCTGTCGGCTCCCTGCTCGTGTCGCTCCCTGTCGCACCAGACCGTCCTCTGGCACCACCGCCTTGGTCACCCCTCCGTGCAGCGCCTTCGTGGCATGCACTCCCGTTACCTTGTCTCTGGTCTTCCCAGAGTTCTCCCTCCCCTCCCACCCTCGCCTGCTCCTCCCTGTCTTCCCTGTGTCGAGGGGCGGCAGCGCGCCACCCCTCACTCCTCCTCGTTCCCTCCCACAGAGGCTCCTCTGCAGACTCTTCACCTGGACGTGTGGGGCCCAGCCCGCGTCCGGGGACAGGGCCACGAGCGGTACTTCCTGCTGGTCGTCGACGACTACTCGCGCTACACCACGGTCTTCCCCTTGCGCGCCAAGGGTGAGGTCCCTGATGTTTTGATCCCTTGGATCCGCGCTGCTCGTCTCCAGCTCCGCCAGCGGTTCCAGTCGGACTTTCCCGTCCTGCGTCTGCACTCTGACAGGGGTGGCTAGTTTTCCTCTGCCCTCCTGGCTGCCTACTGTGCGGAGCACGGCATCCGCCAGACTTTCACTCTTCCGGACTCCCCACAGCAGAATGGGGTTGCTGAGCGCCGGATTGGTTTAGTCATGGAGGTCGCTCGTACCTCCATGATCCATGCGGCTGCCCCCCATTTCCTGTGGCCGTTTGCAGTGCAGTACGCCGCGCATCAGCTCAACCTTTGGCCCCGTGTCTCTGCTCCGGAGACCTCGCCCACACTGCGTTGGACGGGGGAGGTTGGCGATGCGTCGGTGTTCCGTGTCTGGGGATGCCGAGCCCTTGTTCGCGATACGTCCGCGGACAAGCTCTCCTCCCGTGCCGTTCCCTGCGTCTTCCTTGGCTTTGTCCCTGACGCGCCTGGCTGGCAGTTTTACCACCCCACCTCGCGCCGTGTCTTTGCCTCTCAGGACGTCACCTTTGACGAGTCGGTACCCTTTTACCGTCTCTTCCCCTACCGCACTGCCCCCCTCCCTCCCCCGCCGCTGTTCCTCGCTCCAGGTCCCCCTTCGCTAGTACCCCCTCCCCCTCAGGGTCCTGCTCCCTCAGGTGTCTCTCAGGTAGACCCTCCTCCTGTCGCTGAGCCTGTCGAGGTCACAGGTGACTCAGGTGCTGCTGCAGGTGGTACTGCTGGGGGTGCTGAGCCTGGGGGTGCTGACACTGGGGGTGCTGAGCCTGCGGGTGCGGAGCCTGGGGGTGCTGAGCCTGGGAGTGCTGAGCCTGGGGGTGCGGAGACTGGGGGTGCTGAGCCTGGGGGTCCTGGGGCTGGGAGTGCTGAGCTTGGGGGTGCTGGGCCTGGGGACGCTGAGCCTGGGTTTGGTGAGCCTGGGGGTGCTGAGCCTGGAGGTTCTTGCGCTGCTGGTGCTACCACTAGAGCTGGAGGTTCTGGAGCTGCTACGGACACTGGCGCTGCGGGTTCTGAGTCTGCTGTTGCGCGGTCTCCTTGGAGTAGCCGCCTTCGTACGCGTGTGCCTCTCACCTCCCAGCAGCTGCGCGACTGGTACGGTCGCCGTCAGCGTCGCGCTCCTGTGGCTCGGGACCCTGCTCCTGGCTGTGCTTCCACTGACGTCACTGGAGCTGCGGGTGGTGCTGGTTTGTTGTCTCCTGGGGGTGCCCACGTCGCTGGTCCCGGAGGTGCTCGTACCGCTGGTACTCGAGCTGCTGGGGCTGGTGGTGCTGTGTCTGAGGGTCCTCCTCCTGGGGACGTTGCGACTGGGGGTGCTGGTTCTGGAGGCGCTGCGACTGGTGGAGACGGTCCTGGAGGAGTTGCTGCTGGGGGTGGTGGAGCTACTGGAGGTGCGGGAGCTGCTGTGGGTGCTGGAGCTGCTGGTGCTGGTGACACTACACAGACGCGCTTGTTCTTCGCTCCGCCGTCTTCGTCGTCTCTGCCACCTCCTGACTCTGTCCTTCACCAGGTTCTTAGTCTTCCGTCTTCTACCGGTCTTCCCCTCCTGCCTGACTCACCGCTTCCTGCTCCTTCTCCTTACACTGAGCAGTCAGGAGGTCTTACTGAGCGTCGTGAGCCTGCGTCTCGTCCTGTCTCGCCAGTTTGCTCTGGTCGCACCGTTCGTCGTGGTCCGCGTTCGCGGTCGCCGTCTGTCCCCCGCACGCGCCTTGTCGTTTGTTGTTCTTCCTCTGTTCCGCAATCTGTTCCTCTGCCGTCCCCTCCTGCGTCGTCTTTGCCTCACGTTCCGGACCCTGAGTCTGACCGGTTTCGTGCTGAGCACCCTATTGTCACGCGTCTGCTAGCCACTGTTGTCACTGACCCCTCGTTTGAGTCTTCTGCTGCGTCTGCCTTGGTCGCTGAGCTAGTTGACTTTGCTGCTGCCTGTCGTCTAGACTACGCTGCTAGCCTTGTTGCTGAGTTTGAGTCTGTCTGTCCTCCGTCCGTCGGGGGTGAGTGTGCTCTTGGCACGGACGTCCTTGAGGACAGGCACGAGGACCTTGAGTGTCTTGCAGCCGCTGCGCCTCATCTCGTGGCCATGCTGCTTGCCCCTGAGGGAGACCCGGATGCTATAGACATCCCTACCCCGCGATCTTACGTGGAGGCGATCGCGGGTCCATACTCCTCTCAGTGGCAGGCAGCCATGGACGCAGAGATGGCATCCTGGAAGTCCACTGGCACTTACGTCGACGACGTTCCCCCTCCTGGGGCGAACATCGTCAGTGGCATGTGGATTTTCAGGGTGAAGCGGCCGCCGGGTTCTCCGCCTGTCTTCAAGGCTCGTTACGTTGCTCGAGGCTTCAGTCAGCGAGAGGGAGTCGACTTCTTTCAGACCTTCTCCCCCACCCCGAAGATGACCGCTCTTCGGGTGCTGCTGCACGTTGCCGCTCAGCGTGACTACGAGCTTCACTCTCTTGACTTCAGCACAGCTTTCTTGCAGGGCAGTCTGCACGAGGAGATCTGGCTGCGCCGCCCTCCTGGCTTCACTTGGTCGTTTCCTCCTGGTACCCAGTGGAGCCTCCACCGGCCAGTCTACGGTCTCCGCCAGGCGCCACGTGAGTGGCACGACACACTGAGGACTACACTTGCGGCTCTTGGGTTCGCGCCTTCTACTGCTGACCCGTCGCTGTTTCTGCGCTCCGACACTTCACTGCCGCCGTTCTACATCCTCGTGTACGTCGACGACTTGGTCTTTGCTACTGCTGACACTGAGGCTCTCGCCCACGTGAAGTCCGAACTGCAGAAGAGACACACGTGCACAGACCTGGGTGAACTGCGCAGCTACCTTGGCTTGCAGATCACCCGGGATAGAGCACGCCGCACCATCACACTGACTCAGTCACACATAGTGCAGCAGGTCCTTCAGCGCTTCGGCTTCACCTGGTCCTCAGCACAGGCCACTCCTCTGGCTATAGGTCACTCGCTCTCAGCTCTGCCTTCGGATGAGTCCGTAGAGCCGAGTGGTCCTTACCCAGAGCTAGTTGGTTGCCTCATGTACCTGATGACTTGCACTCGTCCTGACCTAGCGTACCCTCTTGGCCTTCTGGCCCGCTACGTGGCTCCTGGCAGGCACCGAAAGGTGCACTGGGATGCTGCAAAGAGGGTATTGCGCTACTTGTGCAGTACATCGGGCATGGGGCTCGTGCTTGGAGGAGGGAGCCCAGTTGTTCTCACTGGGCACTCAGATGCTTCTTGGGTTGACGACCAGGCTACACAGCGGTCGTCACAGGGTTACACCTTCAGTCTTGGCTCTGGCTTCGTTTCTTGGCGTTCTACACGTTCTTCTTCAGTTCTCAGCTCTAGTTGTGAGGCTGAGATCTACGCCACAGCCATGGCTGCAGAGGAGTTACGCTGGCTGACCTACCTGCTGACCGACCTTGGAGAGCGGCCTCGTTCTCCTCCAGTGCTATACGTCGACAACAAGGCTGCCATTGCCTTGTGTGAGGAACACAGACTGGAGCACAGAACGAAGCACATCGCTCTGCGGTACTTTCTGGCTCGAGAGTTGCAGCAGCGTGGTCAGCTTCGTCTGCGTTACGTGGCCACTCAGGCCAACACTGCTGATATATTCACCAAGGCACTTCTGCCTAGTGATCATCAGCGTTTCTGCACTTTGTTAGGGCTTGTGCCCACTTTTCTCACCTGTTGTAGACTCTGCCTGTACTGTGATATATATATATATATATATATATATATATATATATATATATATATATATATATATATATATATATATATATATACCTGCATGCTTGCTTTCTAGATATAGATCATTGTGCTGCTTGTACTACATATATGCCTCTGCATGTGAACTGGCCTTGTGGCTCTTTGCTTGTGCTCAGAATGTGTGGTGACATTGTGATCCACCCTGAGCTTGCTTGCCTTTCTTGACTGGTCTTGTGACCCCTTGCTCTCCCCCACTTTACCTATGGGGGTGTGTCAAACATTGTACTTGTGTTATTGTTGTGTAGGCTACAGTGGGTTAGCCTTTAGGGGGTACACAATTCTAGGGTTTTCATACTTGTAATCCAACTTTCTCATAGTCGAACCACTTCGTGTTTCTGACACACAACATTGATGCGTGCCCTCGTCGAGAAGTACACAACGTGAAATGAAGGGAGATTCTACGTCCAAGTGGACAGAAGCAACATCGGCTCGACCAGAATTTGTTCGACCCGAGCTAGGCCCTTGTTGTGTCAGGTCGACCTGTGGTCGGGTTCACACCCCGAAACAACAGATCCGGCCAATGCCTGGATGGTGGATCGGGTCGATTCAACCCAAAAACATACTAAGCTTGGGTCGACCGACCTACCATTTTCAATGGCAATCTGCACAGATTAGAAATGTTGACCACCAATTTGCACTAACCAATGCAATTTGGCTGTCGACCTGAAAGGGTCAACTTTTTTGCTCGCCGATCCACAAAGATCGGGCACCTCAACAATTGATCTACACATTTAACTGCCGAAGTTGGGTGATAGGCCGACCGGATCAGGTGGGCCAAAAAAACCCAAGAATAATGAGTCGGTCGGGTCTCTCGTCTACAAGAGCCAAACAACACGACCCGGCAAGGTAGGCGGGCCCATTGCACTGATGACCCGACCTGGCCAACAGCCTCGCTCGGGTCGATCAGTTGCTCTATATTGAGCACCAAAGTCGGGGTTATATGAATGCAAGTGGTCTCCACTCAACAACCTCACTTGCTCATAGGCTTGGCCTGGGTGCGTTCGGACAGCCTGGCCCAGCCAGGCCCATTTTTGACAATTTAAGGTCGAATCGATGCGACTTTGCCTGCCAATAAGTTGTCAACGGGAGTTGTATGTTGGCCCCGTCCTCGCTTGGGCGGTGCCGACTTCGTGGTCGGGTGTAGGGTGCAGCCGACCTGCAGCAGTGGGCGAGTTGGTCGACGAGGTTGGTCGACCTGCACGGGGAGCCACTGCATGGGCGCCGACTTCAGGAGGGCGCCAACTTCGGGTGGTCGACCTGGGCAGTCGACCAGACCTTCTGGTCGACCTGGTAAGTCGACCAGCCCTTCTGGTCGACCTGGGAAGTCGACCAGACCTTCTGGTCGACCTGGTAAGTCGACCAGCCCTTCTGGTCGACCTGGGAAGTCGACCAGACCTTCTGGTCGACCCGGTAAGTCGACCAGCCCTTCTGGTCGACCTGTGGAGTCGACCAGACCTTCTGGTCGACCTGGAGTGACGTCGACTTGGAGCTGGTCGACCAGGGGGTAGTGGTCGACCTGGGGAGGTCGACTGGAGGTGGCCGTCGACTTGGGAGGTCGACCGGCACATACCAGAGGCAGTGGTCGACCTGGGGAGGTCGACCGGAAGTGGTCGTCGACCTGGGTGGTCGACGGGCACGCACAGGAGCCTCTGGTCGACCTGGTTGCTTGATCGACCAGGTTACCTGGGTGACGAGGTTCTGCGGAGGCATGCGACGTTCGCCCGGGTGGTTTTGGCAAGGACGACCTCGGTGATGGTATCCCGAGGTCGACGTGGTGCATCAGAGGCAGTCGTCAGCACGTAGTTGATGTGGTGTGTGCGCTGTGCAGGTGACGAGGCACTGCACACCAATCATCTGCGAAGTAGGTGCGCTGCTGTCCTGCGGGAGCAACGTCGGCGCGCCGTCAACCTGCGACGTTGGCACGTCGTCGACCTGCAGTGTTGGCAAGCCGCGACTCTGCACCGCTGGGGCGCGGTCGACCAGGTCGTGCTGGCACGCGGTCGACCGTGCTGCGCTGGCAGTCGTCCTGCTTGCATGCTAGCTCTGATGTAGTCTTGCCTTGCCAACTTCATTGTATCATTGTTGTCAACTTTCTCTAGTGAAACTCTTGCCAAATTGCCCCGTGAACTAGCAAGCAGTGTGTGTACTAGGAAAACGACTAAGGACTGACGAACGCAGAGATCACACGAGCATCCGTGCCTAGCCCGTAGTCTAGCTCCCGTTGTAGTAGTTATCTCCGCATGGTGCGGTGAGCGTGGACGGCACACGACTTACTTTTCAGTCGGGTCGACGTAGACATCACTTACCTAATTCGTCGTTGTAGGCCGGCAGCTGTGCGTTGGTCACTATGGTAGGAGCCGTAGGTGATGCAGGGGTGGTGGACACCCTGGAGGCACGGCTGGAGGACGCGAGGAGACGCCATGACGCCCAGGAGTACGGAGCAATACCCTGGGCGGTCGTCGAGGCTGGACTCCGCACCATGTGGGCGACGGAGCACCCTTCTCGACCTGCCTCTCCTCGACCGGTGAACGACGAAGGCGGCGTCGACATGGGCGTCAACGCCGGTGGTGGTCAAGTCGGCAGCAGTGCGGGAGGCACGTCGAGGCAGCGTGGTGTGATTCACGCCGATGAAGTCGGCGTCGTTCAGGCGCGAGGGATGCGGTCGTCGGCGGCTGCAGGCTCCTTGCAGGGTGACGTCGGAGGTCGACGAAGTGGATCTGTGCCGATGTCGGCGACCCAGGTGACAGCAGGCGGGATTGCACCGAGCTACGGCTACTTCAAGTTCACGCCGGACAGGATCTTGGTCACTCCGCCGCTCACTGGTCGACCCGACATACTCACCTGGAAGGAAGCCATCGAGCCCCAGCTGGAAATGGCCGGGCTGATCAGCTTTGCTCGAGGCACCGTGGCGACGCCGGACGATCCCGACTTGCGTGCGGAGTTTCGTGCCGTGCAGCTGTTGACCTTCACAGTCATCTCCCGGTGCTGCTCGCCGGGCGTGCAAATCGCCTTGAAGTGGTGCCGAGAGTACCTCGACGCCGGCCACCGGGCGTGGCACTTCATCGAGTCGACCTACCAAGTCACCGACGACTTGTTCATCGCACAGCTGGAGGGGCAGCTGACGCACCTGCGTATGGGCGACGAGGAGACGGCGACCGACTACTGCAATCGGGCCCGGCGAATTCTCGCCACCATCAGGATGGCTGGCGCGCAGTACTCGACGGCGTCGTACGTCACCCACGTCATGCAGGGACTCTCGAGTAGCTACAACCTTCTGAAGCGGCTGTCAATGGCGCCGAGCACCAGGACGACGCTCAACGAGGACAACTTGACCTCGTACATCCTGCAGGACGAGGCGATGCAGGAGGCAGAGCGGTCACAGGAGCTCTTGGCACAGGCGAACCTCGTCGCCCCGGCGAAGCAAGGAAGTCGACCGGGGCAGCGCGGTCGAGGAGGAGGAAGTCGACGTCGGGAGTGCTGGCTGTGTGGCGACCCCGACCATCTCTCCTTCGAGTGCCCCGACCGCAGTGACTCCGACGACGAGGGCGCAAAGGGTGGCCGCGGGAGGTCGGGCAGTCGTCGTCCTCGGCGAGGAGGAAACCAGTCACGCAATGAGAAGACGTCGACCAAGTCGTCGACCTCGGCGAAGGACGCCGACTCCTCTGCTGGCGGCAAGGGGAAGGACGACAAGTCGGCGTCGTGCTCTCTGGTCGGCGTCGTGGAGCCGACCGTCTCGCTGGCGCCGGAGGCCGGCGAGGACTTCCAGGCGGTGGCGGCAGCTGTGCAGGCGAATCCGGCGGTGGTCCTGCTCGACAGCGGCTGCTCCCACCACCTGATGGGGACGAAGGACGCCTTCGTCGACTTGGGGCCAAGCGGCGACGTGAAGCACGTGCGTGGCTTCAATGGGGCGCTGCAGGACGTCCAGGGCCGCGGCACCGTCGCCCTGCAAGGCGAGGCCGGGAAGCAGGTGCTCATCCCCGACGTACTGTACGTCCCGGGTGTGCGGGCAAACCTGCTGTCGTCTGGCCAGCTGAAGGAGCACGGCGTGAAGCTGCACGAGGACGGCGACGGGATGCTGCTTGTCTCAGCAGCAGGAGAGGTGCTCGGTCAGGCGACGTACTCCGGGCGAGTCCTCTGCACCGACCTGCGTCCCTGCTCGACGAAGTCGACGTCACCCACGCCGGAGGTTGTGGCCCTGCGGGCGATCGTCTCGAAGACGAGGTCGACGCCGGACAGGCTGCATGCTCGGCTTGCACATATTGGAATGGACACCATCAGGCGCTCGGCGAAGAACGAGGTCGTCATTGGGCTGGACCTCAAGTCGGCGACGGGCGCCGACTCACCGTGTGTCTCGTGTGTCGGCGGGAAGCTGGCGAGGCACACCTTCCCCGACCACGGCTCCGACGCCGACGACGTGTTGGCCGTCGTACACATCGACTTGTGCGGGCCATTCCGCGTGGCTGCCAAGGACGGCAGCCTGTACTTCTTGCTGCTAAAGGACCGCAAGACTCGCTACGTGTGGGTGCGGCCGGTCGCCAAGAAGTCCGACGTGCTGCGGGAGTTCGAGCAGTGGCTGGTGATGGCGGAGCGACAGACCAAGAAGTCGGTGCTAATGCTGCGCTCTGACCGGGGAGGGGAGTTCCTCGGAAAGGACTTCACCGCCCTCGTGGACGGCAAGGGGATCCTCCACGACCTCACCTGCCCATACACTCCGCAGCAGAACGGCATGGCGGAGCGGGAGATGAGGACGGTGGTGGAGTCGGTGCGGACGATGCTGCTGCACATGGGCGTCCAGCACCACTGGTGGCACCTCGCTTTGCGGCAGGCTGTCTGGGTCCGCAACTGCCTGGAGAGGTCGGCGACGCCGGGGACGACACCGTACCAGTTGCTCACCGGGAAGAAGCCCGACTTGTCGCTGGCGCGCGTGTGGGGCTGCATGGCGCAGTTCCTCGTCCCCGAGCAGCAGCGTGGTGGGAAGCTGAAGCCGAAGGCCCGATGGGGCCTTCATCTCGGCGTGTCGGAGGAGAGCAAAGGCTGGGAGCTCCTCGACATCGCCGACAACCGGGTGGTCACCACGTCGGACGTGGTGTTCTACGAGGACATGTCGCTGGAGGTGTGGAAGTCGGAGCACGGGCCAGTGTCCGGACGGACGCCGAGCACTCCGCCGACCGACACCTCGACGGCGACGCTGCCTCTGCTCGCGGCGGTCGGTGAGCTCGCTGCTGGGGACATCGCGGTCGACCATCCTCCTTCCCCTCCTCCCACGACCCATGTTTCTCCCCTCGTGGCCGACATGCGTGGACTGACTCCGGTGTCGGCCTCCGGCGATGAGGGGAGTAGTGGGACGTCGCCTGCGGCCAAGAGCATCGCCGGTGGCCGACGTGACGGGCAGCAAGTCGACGTGGGAGTGAAGTCGACGCCGACAGGGGAGCAGGCAGCAACAAGGCCGACCAAGGAGCAGTCGGCGACCTGGCAGTCGACAGGGGAGCTGACCGCAGGGGAGGAATCGGTCGGGACGCCGACCGAGGTGCAGCAGGACGACGAGGATGATGAAGGGGAGCAGTTGGGCGACGAGGAGTCCACCGACAGTGACGTGGGAGAGGCCCAGGCTGGACCACGGCGTACAGGCCGCCTTCGGAGGCCTCCCGACTTCTTCGTCCCGGCTGCCTTCACCACGGTGTATGACGTGGTCGACGAGGACGACGACCTGCTGTACGACGACGCCGATGAGGATGAAGACCTGCTGGAGCTCGACCCCGACATGCACGCCGACCCCGAGCACCGTTGGGATATCTCCACGATGACGGTGAAGGAGGCGCTGGCTAGCTGGAAGGGTCCGGCGGTGAAGGCCGCCATGGAGGAGGAGATCCGCAGCCTCATCGGCATGGGGACGTGGGAGCTGGTCGAACGCCCACCCGGGGTCAACATCATGAAGAACCGGTGGGTGTTGACGACGAAGTACCACATCGACGACACCATCGAGCGCGAGAAGGCGAGGCTGGTCGTGAAGGGCTTCACGCAGGTGTATGGCGCCGACTACGACGAGACGTACGCGCCGGTGAGCAGCTACGTCACGCTGCGGATTTTCCTCAGCATCGTCGCCGTCTTCGACCTCAACCTGATGCAGCTCGACATGAAGAATGCCTTCCTGCAGAGCAAGCTCGACCGCGTGCTTTACATGTACCAGCCGGACTACTTCAATGACGGGACCGGCCGGGTGTGCAAGCTGCTAAAGAGCCTGTACGGGCTGAAGCAGTCGCCGCTGCTGTGGTACAAGGCTCTCAACGACGTGCTGGTCGGTGCTGGCTGGAAGAAGAGTCGGGTCGACGAGGCTCTCTACTTCAAGGTCGGCGTCGACAAGGTGACCTGTTGGGTGCTGGTCTACGTCGACGACCTGCTCGCCGCCAGCAGCAGCCCCGAGATGCTGAAGGAGCTGAAGGAGCTGCTGGAGGCCGCCTTCGAGCTGCGTGAGATCTCGCCGGTGCAGAAGTACCTCGGGCTGGAGATCGTGCGCGACAGGTCGGCGGGGAAGCTATGGCTGCACCAGCAGGGCTACGCCGACAAGCTGTGTAGGCGCTTCATCGATGAGGAGCAGGGCGGTCGGACCCCGAAGACGCCGGTCTCGGTCGACGCCTACGCCGAGCTCACCTTCGACGACGAGGAGGCGCAGGAGCGTCAGGAGGAGGAGTACCGGCAGAAGGTCGGCTCGCTGCAGTTCACGGCGACGACGACGAGGCCGGACATCGCCTTCGCCTGCAGCAAGCTGGGGAGCGGCCTCACGGTGAGGAGCGACCAGCACTGGCGCGAGGTCGACCGCTGCCTTGCCTACCTCGCCAACACGCGTGACACCGCCTTGGAGTTCGGCGGTGGACCTGAGTCGCTGGAGCTGGTCGGCTATGTGGACGCCGACGATGCCGGCGACAAGCAGAACAGGACGAGCACGGGCGGCTACGTGTTCGTCTACGGAGGAGCCGCAGTCTCCTGGTCGAGCCAGCGCATCAAGTGCGCGACGCTGTCGTCGACCGAGTCGGAGTACGTGGCGGTCGTCGAAGCCGGCAAGGAGGGACGCCGACTTCGCTTCCTCCTGGCAGAGTTCCAGCAGCTAGATGCTGGGAGGCCGATGGTTCTAAGGGTGGACAACAAGTCGGCCATCACAGTCGCCGAGGGCATGGGGTTGACGGGCAACCTCAAGCACATGGAGCGGCGACAGGCCTGGCTGCAGCACATGGTGAAGCGGGGGAAGTTTGCGCTGCAGTACATCCCGACCGCTGAGCAGCCGGCCGACTTCTTGACGAAGGCGCTGCACTATCCGGCCTTCAACTGGTGCTCCGTCGCCATCGGCCAAGTGCGTCTGGCCGACGTGGGCAACGGCGACGACGACGTGCAGCAGTAGGTGCCATGCCCTCTTGCATGGCTGGTGCGGTGGACAACGTGCTGTGGGTTGGGTGCACGTCGACGAGCTTTTCTCCAAAGAAGTACTGTCGTGTGGGCTGGGGGCCCAAGCGTGAACGTGGCAGGGGAGTGTCAACGGGAGTTGTATGTTGGCCCCGTCCTCGCTTGGGCGGTGCCGACTTCGTGGTCGGGTGTAGGGTGCAGCCGACCTGCAGCAGTGGGCGAGTTGGTCGACGAGGTTGGTCGACCTGCACGGGGAGCCACTGCATGGGCGCCGACTTCGTGAGGGCGCCAACTTCGGGTGGTCGACTTGGGAAGTCGACCAGACCTTCTGGTCGACCTGGGAAGTCGACCAGACCTTCTGGTCGACCTGGTAAGTCGACCAGCCCTTCTGGTCGACCTGGGAAGTCGACCAGACCTTCTGGTCGACCTGGTAAGTCGACCAGCCCTTCTGGTCGACCTGGGAAGTCGACCAGACCTTCTGGTCGACCTGGTAAGTCGACCAGCCCTTCTGGTCGACCTGGGAAGTCGACCAGACCTTCTGGTCGACCCGGTAAGTCGACCAGCCCTTCTGGTCGACCTGAGGAGTCGACCAGACCTTCTGGTCGACCTGGAGTGACGTCGACTTGGAGCTGGTCGACCAGGGGGTAGTGGTCGACCTGGGGAGGTCGACTGGAGGTGGCCGTCGACTTGGGAGGTCGACCGGCACATACCAGAGGCAGTGGTCGACCTGGGGAGGTCGACCGGAAGTGGTCGTCGACCTGGGTGGTCGACGGGCACACACTGGAGCCTCTGGTTGACCTGGTTGCTTGGTCGACCAGGTTACCTGGGTGACGAGGTTCTGCGGAGGCATGCGACGTTCGCCCAGGTGATTTTGGCGAGGACGACCTCGGTGATGGTATCCCGAGGTCGACGTGGTGCATCAGAGGCAGTCGTCAGCACGTAGTTGATGTGGTGTGTGCGCTGTGCAGGTGACGAGGCACTGCACACCAATCATCTGCGAAGTAGGTGCGCTGCTGTCCTGCGGGAGCAACGTCGGCGCGCCGTCAACCTGCGACGTTGGCACGCCGTCGACCTGCAGTGTTGGCAAGCCGCGACTCTGCACCGCTGGAGCGCGTTCGACCAGGTCGTGCTGGCACGCGGTCGATCGTGCTGCGCTGGCAGTCGTCGTGCTTGCATGCTAGCTCTGATGTAGTCTTGCCTTGCCAACTTCATTGTATCATTGTTGTCAACTTTCTCTAGTGAAACTCTTGCCAAATTGCCCCGTGAACTAGCAAGCAGTGTGTGTACTAGGAAAACGACTAAGGACTGACGAACGCAGAGATCACACGAGCATCCGTGCCTAGCCCGTAGTCTAGCTCCCGTTGTAGTAGTTATCTCCGCATAAGTGACCTGCCCTTGTAACGCCGGAACGGGTCAGCATCTTGAACAGTTGGACAAACTCGACCCAGGACCCGCCTGGCCCGACCCGACTCAGGACCCACCCGGCCCGCCTAGATTAGGTCGGGTCAAATATTCAATCATAATCCCACCCCATTTATGAGGATCGAGTTTCGAGTATAGAATATAAATCTCCGGACTCTGAAAATATAAGGGTGATCGATATACGACTTGGGTTTTGTACAAATATGCCTCAAATTAAGACCCCCCCCCCCCCCCCCCCCCCCTCTTGGTCTTTTGTTAACTATGATGAGAATAACACATCCAGCGTCCTGGACACTAGATGCCCAACTAGCCGCCTACTGAACGTTAATAAGACTCTGATGCGGACAGGCTAAAAAACCTTTCAGACAAGCAAAAAAGAGTTTTAGGGGACCGAAAAAGAAGGATCGGGGACATAGCAAACAATGTAAAGCATGAAATCCCTCAAAAATGTAATATTTCCGTAAATACTCTTTACGGTTCACGAAGGAGAATTCTGAAAACCCTCCAGCGTTTACGAAGGAGAATTATGAAGAACCCTTTTCAGACTTCAGGGGGCCGTTGATTTCGCAAAATGAACAATCTTGTTGAATGAAAATTTTGCGAGTGATTGTTTTTTTCCAGTCAGCCCAAGTAAAATTCGTATAGCGTATCCGTGGCTCCGCCTGTGTCCTGCGTCCCGCGTCCGGATGCGAGCCCCTCCTAAGCGTAGTTCTCATCTTGGTTTTTTAGGGATGACAGCATAAAACCTTCGGGTCTAGTATCCGGTGAACCGTTTAGATCAATAAACATATAAATCGTCCGGATAAAAATTCGACTAGACAAAAAAAATTCCTAATTCTTACATCCCTAGCTGTTACGTAAAGGGTTGTGCACATTTGCGAAAGGGTGGAACCTGGTCTGGTGGAGAGGCAGCTGGCCGGGGCTGCGAACGAGAAGGAACTTGTAGACAAAGAAGCCTTACTCGTCACGCACATACTGATGTTGCTTTACATGTTGCGGTTACATAGATGCAAAAGAAAAGGAAGCATGCACCAGGCATAAGAATCGTATAGTGGTGTTCTGAACAAGATCTCAAACTGTAAAGAGGTATGCCAATCAACATGATACGAAAATGTGTGAGCCATCTCAAACACAAGGCGAAAGAGAGTCAGAGGGTGTCATGGGCTGGTCCACATGAATCCAATAGACGCAAGGTGTTGAAATGGGGATGCACGCCGGCCTGGGTAAACCAGGTAGGGCCAGCCACTGAATAAGGCCGAATTCAAACTAGCACAATTGACGTTGTTTTCCGACCAGCCATACCTTGGCACAATTGTGCAAGTCAAACTGACCATGTCTCCACCTAACTAATGAGTGGTTCATTGCTGATCGATTGAAGTTTGGTCCATCCTCAGAATGTTTTCCAAACCGTTGGCTCATAAGCGCTACTTTAATTGCTTAACCACTAGCAGCTTGAGCAATAATACACTTATTTAAGCCACTTCGCTCGGGTTCAGTTTGACTAAGGGCGTATTTCAATCCTTGTCAAGAGTACTATTTGTGTCATTTGAGATTTTTGTAACTAAGGCATTCCAAATGCAAAATATCCAAAGGTGCCTTGGCCTATATTTATGGTTCTAAGAATCTCAAATGACACAAACAATATTCTTGACACGAAATAAATACACCCTAACCGAACCGTGTAAGCAGGCTCGATCAAAGTGCTCATGCTACAGTCAGATAAGTGCTTATGGGAAGACAACATCCTTCGCAGCCACTTGTATTTGTGCGTCAGTTTGGATCAAGTAAGTTGATAGTGGTTTGGGTGTTAGCAACTGCCATCTCTAGTATAAGAAGCATACAAGCCTTTCTCCTATTTGTTTGGTGCTTTGTCTGCCATTTGTTCGGGAATGACAAGCCGATGACATTCCACGGTGTTTATACATGAGCGGCACTTGTCTGTTGCTCATTTAGACCCACACGCAAGCATATCAGCATTTAAAACAGACCCAACTTGTAAAGCCCATCGTATGTGAAAGCCCGTCTAATGTCAGACTTCTTGCATTTGTGCCCTTGAATGACTCCTGCGTCATTCTTCACCTTAATGCGATTCTGAAACCACCGAAAAGGCAAATATTTTGAAAAAGAAACGTAAAACACAGGTTAAGACAAGAACATGACCCAAACAAATATATAATTATGTCTATATATGCAGGTTTTTGTTAACCTCTTCACTTTGAAAACCAAAAGGTAACATCTCACCACCTAGTCAAAATATACATGTGCAACAAGGCGAGCTTCTCTACCTGGCTCGTACAGTGGACTCGTTCAAAGATGAGTGACGAGTTTGGATTCTGGCGTAGAAAACTAGTACGGGTTGAGCTGAGTTTTGCTCGGCGGCTCGCCAAGCACTCATTTGTTTGACGAGCATTTTTTGAACTCGCACGAGCCTTTTCACTCGTCGGCCTTGCGGACCGATACGTTGGCCACCAAACCACGCAGATTGGTAACTTCGCTCGTCAATCCACAAAATACGGCGATTTTGTCCGTTAATTTGCGGAGATCGACGGGTCTCTTGTCAATCCGCGCGGATTGGCAATATTTCTCGGCTAATTGAACAGATAAGCGATTTCAATGTGCAGATCAGCGATGTCTGCCACTGATCGGTGATTTCATTGCGCTTAGATCTTGCTTTTGGTCAAGCAAGACCAAGATGCCTCTCCCAACAAATATGCCACTTGAGTTTTTAACCAATCATCCACTAGTTACCTCTGTGCACCGTCACATTGAGGCATAGTCTCAATGTGGCTGAGAATAAAAGAGAGCGACCCGGTTCAGGTTTGAGTCATACCATTCTGGTTCAGTTAGAAAATAGGCTGCTGAGGTGCGTTGAACTGGTGCGGTTTGTCACAACTTCGGTTGGTGGAAGTTGAGACTAATTTTCTAGCTCTACCTTTCTTCACTGACTAATTGAAAATCCCTTCCCAAGCATTGTAGGAACCTTGGATCTTGGATTCCGCGACCAAATCTGCACGGTTTCCGAATAAAGGAAGAAAATGATATCATAACGTACGTGATTACAACAAAGGCTCACTCAAGTCGAACGAGACCGGACATGTTCGGGTCGCACCACATCACAGGTTGCTTGACCCAATTTCTATGGGTTGCAGATTGGCAACATGAAAACACACTACGAGTTTTTTTACTCTGACAAAACTGGTCCGGTTTGGACATTGAGTTCGACTATCGACCCAGTTGGACCTGAACTCATTTGGATTTGTAACTTGCTCGTGCCTACTCAATAATGCCACAAGATCGGCTTCATCCAACCACATGGCATTTGCAGCATCATCTGTTGATGTATGTGAGGGTATACATGAGAAGTGAACCAAGATTGCGCTCGGTTGATTCAATTCGGACAGGTCAAGAAGTTAGCGGCAGACCGCCAAATGTTTGGGCAAACAATACGTCCGAACTTTTGAGGTTCGCTTGCGCCACGTCGAAACCGAACTGTTTGACACGTTAGGTTCGTCGCGACCAGCAGAGGTACCGCGCGCCATGCAGTGATTTCAATTGACAAAACTAGCCTAGGGTTAGGGTTGGATGTCGATTAAGATGGCAGATTCAGACATAGGTTAGTTCAAGCTAGTTTCTTACCTCCTATACATCAAATCCCTCTCACCTTAGCACACCGCATGACCACTCACTTGCATGTAGGCTTGAGCATGAGGCCCAGTCGGATCGAGAATGTTTGTTTCAGAGCATTTGTTGGGCATGAGGGAGTGCCTAGGCTTAGAAGATAGAAAGCAAAATTATGAACAGGACATATTGGCAGGCAAAATCGCCGATCTGAACAGATCGGCGAGCGAAAGCGACGATGTGCAAAGAGCGCGGGTGAAGTTGTGCCCGACCAGTCCTTCAATGCCTGGTCGGACCAGAGTTTTGAAAACCTGAGCGTAGTAAGGCCCGACCCGACCTGACCCTGTACCCGCCTGTCCTGCTAAAATCGGGTCAGGTCGGAGCGGGTCGGGTCAGTTGCTCATGCCTACTTGCATGTGGGTTTAGGGTGAAATTTAAGCTAGACTCTAAGAATCGTTTTAGGAAGATTCAGCAGCATTCCGTTTAGGTCTTTAATTAAGAAGTTTTTAGCACAGCATCTTCCAATTAAGTGCACACATGGCAACATTGGGCGGGGCTGGGGATGGGGCCATGAGAAAGGGGCCTACATTTGGTGGAGCACCGGATGCTCCCAGTATAACGCAAGGCGCCAATGTATTTTGAAGCTGAAGTTTTCTTGCTGTTTTACAGTTTATTCATCCTTGTGTGCACGTATCCGTACCCCTCAACCCCGCACAACAGGTTTATGAAAAAAGGGGGAAAATACCTATCTTGTTTTTCATGTCACTACAACGTATTTCCCTAGCGACCGGACTAAGTTTGATTTCGGTCAAAGCTTGCAAAATTTGACCGAACTAAAGAAGATCGGTAATTAAAGGCATCGATCTTAGCCAGGCAAAACAATGTTTGGCCAAACTGAAAACGTTTGTAGAAGTTTGGGCTGAACACGTTCGGGTTCAGTTCGTGCTCATGTCTATGTGGGAGTTTCTAAAACATACCACGAGAGCCAGATTTCCGGCTCGCAGAACTTGGTTGGCCACTTGCTTCAGTATGCCCAGAAGGTCGTTGCCGCCCTGTCTAGTGTACCAAATGCAGCTCGCCTTGTCCTCGTCATCCTCGTATCCTCCAGACACCACCATAACCACTGCGATGGACTTGTCATATGGGCTCTTCTGTTGGACAAAGTTAGTGATTGCATTGCAAGGGATCCATACACGACGTTAGACATGCCGCATAAGCATGGTAATGAACAAAGGTTTGGTTCAATCGGGCTTCTAATATTGTGATGCAGAAACCTATACATTTAGGCCATTCAATAGGAATTGGAGCTCTATTAGTGGTCAACTCAATGTGGATGGGCAATAGAAGAAGCTGGTTGGGCATTATTCTGCTTGAGCATTGACTCGACCCGACCCGACCTGACCCATTCTGCTCAACGTGAAGCGGGTACCGGTCGAATCAGGTTGACCACGAGTAAGGACCTGGAAGAGGGGAAGCCGACCTGACCTGGCGGGCTTATGGGGCGGTCAGCTATGACTAGAGTTGAGGAAGGGCGAACACGGGCTCGAACACTCATGTCCGGCGCACCAAACATGTTCGTGTTCGGCTGAACACCTCCAACACATGTACAGGCGAACAAAAAGGTGTTCAGCCCGAACACGAACATATTCACGGGGGAACATGTTCATGCCCGTTGATTAGGCTCATTTCGTCACACTCACACAACATTCTCGTGTGAAAATGTCACGCGTTTATTGGCAAAATAGGTGCTATTAACATTTGTTTGAGTAGCCATAAGATCCAAATTGAGTAAACGTCTAATTATGGCACAATTCCTCCCCCAACTTCCCGTTCAGACCAACCACATTCTTCATCCATGCCAATGCTAGGATGTGTGCGCGATTGATGACGAGATGGCAGGTCCGCGCGGATCTAATGACAAAATATCGCGAACGGGTACTTGTCCGAGTGAAACAAATTTAAGTGTCGAGGACCGATAGATGATTGGGTAGGTGGCGGAGTTAGGCAAGAGAGAGGGTCTCAACGAGCTCAATTTATCTGATCGACGAAGTCAAATTTGCTGCCTTGGGCCCCAGATCTAGGCACGAACGAGTCAAATAGAAATATGTTCGTCGCAGCAAATGTCGAACACGAACAAGTTTGCGTTCAACGCAACTCGGCACTCTGCAATGAACCAAACTAAAAAAGTTTGGGTGAAATCGAACATGTTCGACCCGAACAGAATTGGCAGTTTATTGTACCTGTTTATTGGCAGAATTCGCCTCATCCTATTACTCATGCCTAGCTATGACCCAAGGCAGGTCGGGTTGATCCGTTGGCGACTCAGGTTGACCGACTCGCCAATTTTGCGTAAAATGTGCAAGAATGGTGATTTTACCAGCCGATCATTGTGGATCGGCCATTTCTCTCACCCATCTACGCGGATCGGCGGATTTCGGCTGCCATCTAAGCGATTCGTTGGTTTTGACCACGTGGATCCGCGAAGATCGAAGCACGTTGAAACCCAATATGCATTAATCGGCCGCCTTTGCAACTGATCCATGCAACTGACGGGTTTAGTTGGGTCGGGTCGACCTGACTCGACAGGTACCAGTATCCGAAGATATGTACCCATTTTGGGTCGTAGGTCAAACCAACCTGACCGGGTAAACCCAACACGACCCAGTCTGGTCGGGAATATCCTTTCCCCATACCCGATCTGACTGGCTCAAATGCTCAACCCTACACCGGCTAACAATCCCACAATCGGTTTCGCCCAAAGGGCTTGCAACCGAACACTCCATCCAGCCAAACTAAATCGTTTCATGTCATATCACGGATGGTTGAAAATATCGAAGTGCCGAACATGAGAAAAAATATTGAACACATAGAGAGGTTTGGGTTGAACCAGTTCGCTTTGAACCAAACAGTGTTGAACTTTAAGATAGACTCAAATTGGTTCTGCTTTGAAACGAATCATTTGGTCTAGTTATATGTCAACATGCCGAGCCGCTTCAAACTATTTGGTTTGATACCGTTTCGATTGCACACAAAACCTGCGCAACCAAGTCGCGACGGATTCATTGTAAATTGGAAGAAGTTGGAGCAAGGGATATAGTTTGAGCTTCCTTGTGGTTGATTTTGGCCCCTCTTTTATAAACCTGTAGTTTCGTATGCGGTTGGAATCTATTTAGAATGACGTTTTTAGGGTGACATATGTTTGCTCTCTCTTTTTTTTTTGAATTGTACATCAAAACTCATACACACCCACTTAAAGTGTTGAGGGTACACAGCAAGCGTCGCTCATGGTATGCTTTACAGTCAGGTCAGATGATTGGCGATTGACAACAAGCACGACGAAAGATCTGAGCCTAGAGGAGAAGGTGAAGGGTTATGATGGTAAAGATGAGGAGGAGGAGGAGGAGGAGGAGGAGGAGGAGGAGGAGGAGGAGGAGGAGGAGGAGGAGGAGGAGGACGAGGAGGAGGAGGAGGAGGAGGAGGACGAGGAGGAGGAGGAGGAGGAGGAGGAGGAGGAGGAGGAGGAGGAGGACGAGGAGGAGGAGGAGGAGGAGGAGGACGAGGAGGAGGAGGAGGAGGAGGAGGACGAGGAGGAGGAGGAGGAGGAGGAGGAGGAGGAGGAGTAGGAGGAGGAGGAGGAGGAGGAGGAGGAGGATGAGGAGGAGGAGGGGGTGAGGGTGAGGGGGGGAGAGGGTGAGGGAGAGGGTGAGGAAGAGGGGGGGGAGGAGGAGTAGGAAGAGAAGGAGGAGGAAGAGGAGGAGGAGGAGGAGGAGGAGGACGATGAGGTCGAGGAGGAGAAGGGAGGAGGAGGAGGAGGACGACGACGACGACGAAGAGGAGGTGGAGGGGGAGATGAAGGATTGGCGGTTAATTATGCAGTGTAGTGACTATGTTTTTTGTGTGGCCTCACAATGTATGGAAATAATTCTGTTATATCTCTGATTTACTTGGCTATGGTGGGTAGGCATGAGCAAAAGGCCCAAACCAAATCGACCCGACCAGATGTGGCCGGGCCAGATAGGTTCTTGGTCGGGTCCCCGCAGGTCAATCATTTCAGATTGCAAACCCGACCCAGCCATACGGAGGCGTATTTTTCTGTTTAAAAATGTACAATTGATGCATGGGGTAAGGAGCCAAGCGGCTCTTTGGTTTAAGCAATAAGCAAGAGAGGAATGAGAGAGATGCTACCCCATTGACCACTAAGTTGGCCACTAAGAGAGCTTGCTTGTGACCCAAACAACCACAAATGTGTGTTGGATGGGATTGGTTGGGTTAAGGACGAATTCCCACCAACCACAAAATATGGTTTGAGTGTACAACAAACAACCCACAAATTTATACAAGTGCTACTCCTCTAATTCTAGCCTATGGGTCTCGTAAACAATAAGGAATTACAACAATTTCTTGACCTGCCCTAGCTTTGGTTCAATCCGGAGGCGGGACGGGTATCAGTACTCCCGTTCGCTCGCCGGTCTACGCAGATCAACGATTTTGCTCGCCCTATTCCGGCGATTTCACCACTCACTGGGCAAAGCCAGGCACTCCTTCCTCCCAACAAAATTGTGGAAATGCAAGTTCCCAGCCAGCTCGCCACCGCTTATCACTCTTCAGCGCAGTGAATCCACATATCCCAACCCCCATACATCCCAACCTCTTACAAATTTCGACATTGAGCACAGCCCAAATACCTTCAGATCGAAATGTTTTCAACACAATTGGGCTCGTGCATGTGTCTGACCCGATTTCTTCATTATTGTCCCAAACTCGGATCAACCTGACCCGGCCAGGTATATCAGGCCCGACACGGCTAGGTTGGCAATTGGAAAAGGTCGGCCCAACCTATGCAAGCGGGTCGGCCCAACCTATGCAAGCGGGCACTTTGCTCATCCCTGGTTATGGGCATCTCTTGTTGCGTGTTCGACTAACTATGCATGACACATGCTAGCATGATGGAGCAATGCTTACGGCTTGAGGAATGATGTCAATGCCGTTGAGCCAATGCTTGTGCAAGCCAATCGCAACCATTTCGGCTCGAGCAAAGAAGCGATCGCCCACACGCACACTTGCACAACAACGTAGAGTCATCAGGACGGAACAGTGCTGCCATCTCTCCTTGCTTGTTTGTCGATACGTTTAGAAATAAAATGCACTTTATGTTTAGGAATTCTAGAGTCAAGAAAAAGGTCAAACCTCGGCTTCAACTCGAACCGATTTGAGCCGAACTAAACCAGTCGCAACTCGAATTCATCAACCTGTTCGAGCCTGCGGAGTTAAACTCTACAACGGGAGCTCTACTATGGGAGAGGGCACGTTGTGTGAGTGATCGTTGCGTTCCTTGGTCGTTTGCTCATGATCTCTCTACGCACACATTCGCCGGAGGAATTGGCAAAAGTCGTCGTCGCCCACTGTAGGCTGTCGGCTGCACCCGACTTCGAAGTCGGCTCCGCCCAAGCGAGGACGGGGCCAACACACAACTCCTGTTGACATAGCCGTGTCGGTCAAGGCGTGAAACCCAACCGGTTTGACATGCTTTCAGACCACATCAGGGCAGTCGGAACTTGTCCACATCAATCTATCCTATTAATCTCCTTTGGGTCCCCTTCCTTGTAGCCATCTTAGTAAGTCTGGATAACCTTAGAATGTATTCCACAAAATGCGAACATAACAAGGGGAGGCCGAGACGACCTTGAAATACCCCAACCCAAACAGCACGTGCTTTGAGTCGAACCGAGTTCAGCCTTAGCAAAGCCAGTTCATTCCAAAGGTACAAATCCTAGTTCGACCCATGCTCGTCTGAATTTTTCGGAAGGAAATAGCGAGCGTCACACTTATATGAATGAACGCGTGACGAACCAAGACGAATGCTAGGCCTACCCTGCTAGGCCTACCCTGGTGGCCTAGCCTTGAGAGCAGCTTGTGGGCTGTTGCGGAAGAATCACGCGCCAGAGTGCCGAGCATTCAGCGTTCCGAAATCGTGAAGGTTAAAAAATGTCTAGCTGATTCCTGGCAGCACTAAGGCCTCAGTCGTATTGGACATGCAGGCATTGGAGCATCTAGCGTCCGAGCGCTCGCGCTTCCCCTTTTGGTTTGGGGCATTCCAGGAAGAAAGCGTACAATCTGGTTGTTTACAAATTCGTGATTACCAACACGTGAAACCGCTTGCCAAACAACACCCAACCAAACAAACCTTAGAATACGTCCCATCACCACCCACACGCCCTACTAGCGGACCTAAAATTCCACTACACTGTTATCTTTGAGTTAAGATGTAGTTGCTTTGTAATATCTAGGGAAGTATGTATTCAGTGTCCCTGTTTTCCCCCCAATTCTCTCTCCTCCCCCTCCCCCTCCCTCTCCCCCTCCCTTCCACCACCCCTTCCCCCCCTATGCCGCTCTCCCCTTCCTTTCTTACCTTCCCCGATGTATCCAGCGCCCGTACGCTAGAACGTGGACGCCAGCGTCTAGTCCAACACAGACTAAGGCATTTCAACAATGTGCAAAACTCAGCAAGGCGATGAAGCAAGCACCAGGGAAGGAGCGAGGAGGCAGCATACGTGGAATGGGCCCAACAGTTCTCGTCTTCTGCAGCAACTTCTTTTCCAGCATCTGTCCAGCAAGTACACAGTCAATGCAAGCGCTGGTTGAGCATTGCCTTCAGGAGCACGCTGGCCTATTCTCATCTCGTCTCACTACTTGCACCATCACATTGGTGTGTGCTCTCATGGAATTGCTTGCCCATTGAACAACACTTGCAATGAGCACTCACATTGGCAGTTCTATCAATGTGCTTTATGAATAATAGCAGCAATCTTGTCCATGTGGACCATATAGAAAAGTGTTTGCGTTACACAACATGGTTCAATGGAAAACAATGAGCAACTAACACGTGAGCAGCCAATCATTCTAAACATACCCTCCCTGAGCTCAAACTGAACATCTTGTTGGAGCCGCAGCCACTCCACTCACCATTACGAGGGCAACGAGGTCGGGGCGCTTGTTGGGGACCCGCACGTTCTTGGCCTCCTCCTTGAGCTTGCTCTTGGGTATCGGATCGTCTTTGGGGCCCATCAACCCCAACCTCCTGCGCTCATTGGTCACACGCTCATCCTTCGTCTGTCGTGCATGGCTTGCGGGCAGACATTTGTCCAAAGCAGCCGGGGACGGAAGCAGCAGGGAAGAGAAGCAGAAGGAACAAAAGCAGCAGAACCGAGAAGCAGGGAACAGAAGCAACGGAGAAGAAGTAGGGCATAGAAGCAACATGATAGAGAAGCAGCATGGTAGAGAAACAGCATGGTAGAGAAGCAGCATGGTAGAGAAGCAGCATGGTAGAAGAACCATGGTAGAGAAGCAGCATGGTAGAGAGGCAGCATGGTACACTCTTAGAATTAGTACTAAAGATCGTCCAAAGACTCTTAGAAAGTTTGAAACGGTTCAAAACCAGCTATTCTCAATAAGCACATAAACGACGCATCAAAGAGCGGAAGAACACCGCGATGGCACTCTCACCTTGACAACTCACCTTCATGCCCATCCCACCTGACCATCATGCCTTCCCACCTCACCCTCGTGCCCCCCCACCTCACCCTCATGTCCCTCCCATCTCACCCTCATGCCCCTCCCATCTCACCCTCATCCTCCTCCCATCTTAACCTCATGCCCCTCCCATCTCAACCTCATGCCCTCCTAACTCACACCCATGCCCTCCCTCCCACCTCACCCTCATGCCCTCCCACCTAAACCTCATGCCCTCTTATCCCACCCTCACGCCCCTTGCACCGCACCTTGATGGCCTGTCGGTCTAACAGGCTGTACAGCTTCAGCATGTGCTTTACTTGGGCCACTGCCTTCTCGTCGTCCTCGTCCCTCTCCTGTCCTCCTTGTCCACCCGCTACCACTGCTGCTGCTGGCGGTGCTGCCTGCGCTCGGTTGCTGTCGCGTGTACTACACCTGCTGCTACTGCTGCTGCTTCCCTTGGCCCCGCGCATGCCGCTGCCCGCCGCCCGCCGTGGGCTGCCGTGTGGTGCTGATGGAGGAGGGGTGTGAGGTGGGCCCCTGTGAGACGGCGGAATGGACGGCGAGGGACAGGGGCGAGCGGGGAGAAGAGAGAGTTGTATTTGCGAGCGCAACTGCATGTGTGGTGCTTTGGTCGGGTAAACAAGGCAAGGCTCTCCGCAGATTGCAAGCCTATGGCACAGATTTCGGGCAAATCGCTCCGCGCATCCCAAAAAAAAAAAAAATCAAAACAAAACAGAAACAGAAACAAAAACCGTGAAAACTAACCGATGATGTTCCTTTCAAATTGGCCAACCCAGCCCAAATGTTGGCAGAGTGGAAGAGTGCTCAGGATCTATCCGCCCTCCCCATCGCCGTGCCTTGTAGCAAATTCTGGAAAAAAATGCTTGATAATGGCAGAGGATGGGTGCGCTATCCCGCATAATCGCCCGCTGGGTGCGCTATCCAGCATAATCGCCCGCCCGCCCGCTCTCCCGCATAATCGCACGCCCGCCCGCTCTCCCGCTTAATCGCCCGCTGGGTGCGCTATCCCACATAATCGCCCGCCCGCCCGCTCTCCCGCATAATCGCCCTCCCGCCCGCTCTCCCGCATAATCGCCCATATTCGCCCATCACCGAAAAGCTCGGAGTTGGGAGGCGGTCAGAGCAGCATCAATAACGTAAGCCTGTCGACGACCCTCACGCAGTCGGGCTGGCCCACATGGGGGGCGTGTTGTAACAGCCTTGCCCTTATAACAAACGGGCTCCAGGCTTAAAAAACAGAGTTTATAAAGTTACAACACAAAATATTGAAACGATAAGAATTACTCCACGGAATAATATCCACTATGTAGATGGCGCGGAGCTATTGAATAGAGGCTTTGTAGAAGTGGAAGAAAAAATTTAGACAAGAACATCCTTGATTGAAGAACTTGCCACTTGAGGAAGTTGATATTGCTAGAATTTAGAAAGCTTGCTTTCTTGTGTTTGCAATGGCAACGTGCTTCGTTTCAAATGGGCATTACTACCTTCTTGTCTGACTTATAAATACCTACATTACAACATGCATTTTTTGCTAGGGTGGGTGGGTGGGTCTTAAGACATTTGAAATTTCGAACGAAGACGTGGGTGGAGGCCAAATGGCCTCCACCCCCTGCTATATAGTTGGCGAAGAGCGTCTAGCACTTCGCCGTTGCCTTTGCTGCATTACAAGCAGCTTCGCTTTCAAAATTTACATTTTAAAAACTGTTACACACTTTTAAAAAACTTCACATTTAGAAATCTTGCTTTTTTACTTTGCAATGGCAACGTGCTTCGTTTCAAATGGGTCTTCTGAGACATGAGACGGGGAATCGCTGGCAAGATGGTGGAGGTTGTTTATGGTTTGTGAAATGACATGTGGGTGGTGTGGAGTTCCATTCGCGCACGTAGCAGATGCCTGCATCGTTGCTGCTGCTGCTGCTATTGTCCTTTGCCATTGTGTTGGACGGAGTGTCGTGTCAAGTGAGTGTAGCGCAGTTGCACTGATTTAAGAGAGGTGGCTGACACCTGAGCTTTATGTATGAGCTTTAAGAGAGGTGGCTGACACGTGTCAAGGGAGGACTTGGCCAGCAGGCGTTTGTATGTTCTGTTGCTGATGGATGTGATGCTTGTAGGAACCCGACCCTCGTTGTGGTCACAACCGTGCTCACATCACGCAGAGTGCATGCAAATTATCTAGATAAAGCTGATGGTGTATAAGCCCTTTGTGAGTGTGCGTGTGTATGATCTGCCAGAGTTGTGCACCATTTCAAAGTAAACACAAGTTTGCTCAGTCAAGTGTGACCTCATCCCCGCCTTGCACCTTAAGGTTGTAGCCGTCATAAGGCAAGTACGAAGCAGAAAAAGAACAACACGACCATTAAAGTGGTACCCTACAAATGGTCCACAAGCAAGAAAGGGAAGGGACCCCCAGCCCTTCTCCCCCTGGGGAGCTCGTTGGCCAACAGAGGACCCACCAGTCCTCCTCCCCCCTTGGGGAGCTCGCTGGCCAGCACAGGACCCACCGGTCCTCCTCCCCCCTGGGGAGCTCGCTGGCCAGCACAGGACCCACCGGTCCTCCTCCCCCCTGGGGAGCTCGCTGGCCAGCACAGGACCCACCGGTCCTCCTCCCCCCTGGGGAGCTCGCTGGCCAGCACAGGACCCACCGGTCCTCCTCCCCCCTGGGGAGCTCGCTGGCCAGCACAGGACCCACCGGTCCTCCTCCCCCCTGGGGAGCTCGCTGGCCAGCACAGGACCCACCGGTCCTCCTCCCCCCTGGGGAGCTCGCTGGCCAGCACAGGACCCACCGGTCCTCCTCCCCCCTGGGGAGCTCGCTGGCCAGCACAGGACCCACCGGTCCTCCTCCCCCCTGGGGAGCTCGCTGGCCAGCACAGGACCCACCGGTCCTTTTCCGGCTGGCGTGGGACCCACGGTCCACACCTCCCACGGGAGCGCATAGGGTTGTGCCAAATGTTGACCGCAGTATTTCTTGGCCGATGGTCTTTGATAGCGACCCGATGCAATGGTCATTGCCTCGCACTGATTTACTGCGACCAAAAAAAATAAAATAACACGAGAGAAAAGCGAAGACAAATAGACACCGCGAGAGGCCGCGGGACCGCGAAAGACCGCAGAGCCGCGGGAGAACGCGGGACCGCGGGAGACCGCGGGTACCGCGGGAGGCCACGGGACCGCGGGAACCGCGGAAGGCCGCGGGAGGCCGCGGGAGACCACGGGACCGCGGAAGACCGCGGGAACGCGGGAGCTGCGGGAGCGCGGGACCACAAGGGCGATGAGGGCCGAGGGGGACGACCGCGGGACTGCGGGGGGGGGGGGGGGGGGGGGGGGGGGGGGGGATACCCGGTCGACCAGGATACCCGGGCGACGTGTGCGAAAGTCGCCGGGATGGTTTCTGTGAGGACGACCTCGAGGGTGGTATCCCGAGGTCGACGTGGCTGGTGGGCGCCGTCACGAGTGGAGTGTCTGCGCTGGGCGTGTGACGGGGAGTTGGGCGCCAACCAGCTGCACGCACCTGCGAAGCTGGTGCACCGTTGTCAGGCGGGTGCAACGCTGTGCAGCCGACCTGC